CGATTTTGCTCTTGGGTTTTACCCCAAAAGGCCTCATACCAATTGGAGTGATACACCTATATATAAGCACTTCACCATTCCCTTACCCAAGCGATGTGGGATTATGCACCCGTAGCTCGCCAGTGTGCTAGCCTGCCAATGTCTCGCACCTACCCACGGCACACCCGCACACAGGGTCATCACAATTTTCATAAGGATTCAAAATTCCTCGACTTCTTTTTCCTGACCACGTCGATTCCACCCCAATCTGATTTGCGAATTTAACCATCATGCTAGTCTGATTGGGATTAAATTTTGTGTAAAATCTATTCCATTCAAGTTGCTGATGTGGGACTGTGAGAGATAGAAATAGGTACATAAAAATTAGTCACTATAAAGATATGTTCTGGAATATCAGCCACTCATGCAGTAATAAAGGGCCTGCTTGCTTGGATAAACAAAGCTGAAGGAAAATAAATAAAAGTGCAATTTTTTTGTTTGGTGTCAGCTGCAATTTCTACCATCACAATGCAATGTCATTCACTACTAAGATGTTACTGCATTATGCTTAATTGTTTGGTCATGGATATTTTGCATAATCTTTTCTAATTTCTTTGTTTAAATATTAACAAAAAAAAACTTAAATTGTATGAAATTATGAGTGATTGAGATTTCTACTTGATTCACTATGTTGCAGAGTCATGTTATGTGTTAAGTACCAATATTATTACGAGTGATGATAAGGGCGGATGTAGGTGTGGGCTCTGGTGGGCTTCAGGCCACTCCAAATTTTTTAATTTTTTTTTACTATACTGATTTTAGCCCAACTCAATATATATATATATATATATATATTAATAGAATTAGTCTATGAAGCACCTACACATCTCTAAGGGTCGATGTACCAGTGTCGAACACGTGTCCGACACGGACACGAGTATCCCAAGCTTGGACACGTGTCCGACACGCTTTAACCGTGTTCTGCATTTTTTAATATATTCGATGCAATCGGACACCGATGGACACCAATCAGACACGCACTAATCTGATTCCTATGTATCGAAGTATGACATTCTCATCTCAGGACTGAGCTATTTCACCGTGCCTCTTTTGCCTGAAGTAGTGAAGGAAGAAGATGAAGAGAGCCAGAGAGGAAAAAGTTGATAAATGAGCCAAACCAGTGTAACATGGTATCATATATATATATATATATATATATATATATATATATATATAATTGAAATCGAACTAGTTTGATGTATCTATAGACGTAAAAATTGTGAAGATAAAGAGAAGTAAGAGAATGACCGGAAACGATGGGGGATACGAAGGCGTAAAATTGATTTTGTTTTTGTGTTTATAGATCTCAAATTGTGAAGATAGAGGGGGATCACAGATAATGGCCGATAGGAGCAGAGACGTGGGTCATCTTATCTGTGTTATTTTATATATATATATATATATATATATATATATACCTATATTTTATTTTATAAATAGTGGTCTATATATATTTGTTTTTTTATTTTTTTAATGGAATGTGTACTATTGACTTTATGTTTTTGAAAAAAAAAAGATGGTTGGCCTAATTTAAATGAGTTGTATTTATTAATATATATAAGAAATTAAGTAAAAGTATATAAATATATTTTTTATATATAATAAAAATTATATTATGATTTTATTGCCGTATCCATGCCGTGTTCGTATTCAAATTTTTTGAAATTTGCCGTATCACCGTATCCATGCCATGTCCGTGTTCAATTTTTTTGAAAAAAGAATCTGAAGTGATACTTCTGGCTTTGAAAAAAGAATCTAGGATTTTCTATGCCTTAATCAGTAGTTAACTAAAATTGAATTAAACAACAGTTGGTTTTGGTTGATATATTTTGATTTAGCCCACCTCATTGAGAAATCCTAGATGTTTTTTTTCACATAGAAATACAATCTATGTAATACACGAAGGATATATTCAATCTTTCTCCCATATTTTTATTTTCAAATTTTGGTTTTTGATTTTCTTTTGTTTTTAGAATGCAGAATATCAGGATATTGATTTGTTAATTTTGAAGATTATTCCTAAACTGATGCATTGTACTTTGTTATTGGATTAATTTAACATAAGAGCGGAGTGTAATATGGGCTAATCACACCTCTTTCTATGGATAGGTGTCCAACAGTTTGACTGAAAGCATAGTTGGGTTGGGTTGATACATGATACAGATAGTACTTAGATGATGATGTTTTAATTGTTATGAGTGAGATTGTAAAACCTCTTCCTCACAACTTGAGTGTTTTCTATTTTTAGGGTTAACATTGGGTCTTAACATTTAGCAAGAACAAGGTTCAAGAAACATGCCTCCTCAGTCTTCAGGCAACAAACTCTTACATATTCTAAAATTTTAATTGGCATTTTTAGCTATTGGTTACGTTTATTTATTCATGTTTTACATATTGATTTTTTGTTTTTGTTTTTGTTCCTATATATATATATATATAATATTATTATGATGTGATGCTCGAACAATTTATTAATGGGAATTAAAGACTTGGAAGTTTAGTTTTCAATTTCAGAATATATGTTTTATAAGTTTATTAACACTTTTAAAAATTTTTCTCATATGTCCTAATAATATAGGTCTCTTTTCTGAAAGATGAGAGTTGATGGGAATGGTGGAGTAGGAAAGAATAAAATAGGTATGTTTTTTTTGCCTAACTATTATACATTAGAAATGCATTACTTGGCAACCGATATGCTATTGGCAATTGTGATGGTAGAAATTATTGTGGCTAACACCACACTAAAAAATTGCAATTTTATTTTTTTCTTTCAGCTTTATTTGTCCAAGCAAGCAAGCCCTTTATTACTGCATGAGTGGCTGATAATCCATAACATATGTTTATAGTGACTAATTTTTATGTACCGTTTTTTTGTCTCTCACAGTCCCACATCACCAACTTGAATGGAATAAATTTTACACAAAATTTAGTCCTGATCAAACTAGCACGATGGTTAAATTCACAGACCAAATTGGGTGGAATCGACGTAGTCAGCAAAAAGTAGTAGAGGAATTTTGTATCCTTATGAAAATCGAGAAGAGGGTATTCAATTCTTGGGTTTGTAACATTAAAAAGAAATATAGTGGTACGTACACAACACCAAATTCTTTGTATTAGATCCGATATTCATAAAACATAAACTAACACTCTTATTGAGAGTCACCACACCTCAAGAGCAATCCTCCATGAAAGCGAATCCACACTAAATTGAATTTGGATCAAAGAGCAACAATACTGAAATTTGCCAAAAAAATTGGATGGAAGATAGAAGGGAAGAGGGAGAACTTGCTGAATTTTGCAGCCATGTGGAACTTGATAAAAGCATCGTTAGGAGATGGATATATAACCATAAAAAAGAGTATTCTGGTACTTTTATTTGAGACATTGCCTTCAGTAGATTTTAGAGAAGATTTTTCATTATACAATATACTTATATTGACTGAAAGGTTCGCACCCCCTGAAAAACAAGCTACCATTGAAACTGCTTCCCCGGACTACGTTTACTCTTGATCAAAAAGCTATGATGCTGCAATTTGGAGATAAAATAGAATGAAATCTATGCGGGAATGACACAGTAGTCGTTACATTCTGCTTCCGTATGGGACTAGAAAAGTAGGTCTTCACAAATTGGGTTTATAACAATTACTCTAAAAGAAAGTACACGGGTATATATTTTATTTTTATTTGGTTATAATTCGTTTTTTTTCCTTTTTTTTTATTTTTTTCAACATCTGAAAAAAATAGCTTTTTGAACTTGTTTCACAACCCCAAAACGCTCGCGAAGAAAGGCACAAGGAGAAAGACTCCAACAAAGAAGGTATGTGCAGTTACCCTTCATGGGACCTATAGTTGATTTATAATTTTTTATTTAATTATAAATTTTTTTTCCTTTGAAAACGAGAAAGAAAAAAGAGGGATTTAAATTTTTTTTTTTTTTTTCAGAATCCAAAGTGGGCTTTAATTTTGTTTCAGAAACACGGAAGACTCATGAGGAAGGGCACAAGAAAGAGGATTCAAATAAAGGTATATGATATATAAGTTATCTTATGCAGTTAAACCGTTCTTGTCACCTACATAAAGAGGGCTTTAAATTTGTTTCAGAATCCCAAAAGTCTCGCAAGGGAGGGCGTAAGAAGAAATATTCCAAGAATGAGGTATATGATATATAAGCTTATCTTATGCAGTTAAACTTTCATAGCACCTACATTTTATTTATAATTTTTTTTTTTTTTTTTTTTTTTTGTTATTTGTTATTTGTTTTGTTTTTTCGTGTTTTTTTTTTTTTTCTCTCACATATGAAAAGAGGAGATCATATTAATGGGAATCAACACGGAAGTAGCAATTATAGTGCGAACCTTTCAGTTTCAGTCAATGAGTATATCAGTCATTGTATAATGAAAAATCTTCTCTAAAATCTAATGAAGGCAATGTCTCAATCTAATAAAAGTACCAGAATACTCCTTTTTATGGTTATATATCCATCGACACTCTTATCAAGTTCCACGTTGCTGCATAATTCAGCAAGTTCTCCCTCATTCCCTTCCACTTTATAGGTTGCTAAATCATCGTGTCAAATACCAATGCTCATACCAACAGCAATGCAAGGTAGCTTTTAGTTCTTAAGGAATGATTACTTTGAGTGAGTGATGACAGTGAAGTGTTCCGAAAGGAACATTATGACAACTGCTGCAACCTAAAGCATGCGAAGCAAACCCAATTTGAAGGATAAAGTGAAAGGAAGGAAGGAGAGAAGAAAAGAAGAAGGAAAATGAGACAAGGGACAAAAATTCTCTTCAATTGATAGAATTCTTACTTAATATGCCAAGAGAATGGTGTTTTTAAAATATATCAACCACACAAAGCTTGTCATAATTATATTGAGCCCCATTCCAATACTTTTACAGAATATATCAGTAGTTGGTTTCAAATTTTGTGCACTTGTAAAAATCATTTTACTCATGACATGCCCAATTATCTCATGGGATATAGTACTAAGAGCAGTGCACATAACAACCAAGGGCATCTATTTTTTCACATGACTAGGAACTCCATTTTGTGAAGGAGATACCAAAACCATTTACCCTATAAAAGTAAAACCAACTTAATCAGCCATCAAATCTAAATAATATACGACTCTAAAAGTTACAAGTAACAGTCTTTCCTCAGAGCACACTTCAAAGATTAAAACACAACATACAACTCCCAAGTAAATCTAGGGACAAAGGGAATGCAAAAACAAGCCAACAACTCCACCTGCAGAGGAAATGTTACAACATAAATTGTAAAATCGATCAGTTTTTCTACTTATCAAAAAAAAAAATCTATCAGTTTTTCCAACAAATCGTGTATAACGTCCAAGATAAATAAAATATATCACCATGACTATTTACGACTTGGTACTTACACCCAAGGGACGATCCACTATTTTGCTATAGATCAAACTATCCTAAGAAACCAGTCACTGAAATAGATAAAGACCATCATGGAATTTAAGAGACGATACAAATAAGTCGAATCAAGTATACCTCCATGGGAAATCATTTTCACAAAAGCGAGAAATTCCATTCATCGCTGAGAAGGAGTCTATGTGGACCCACTGTTCATTTGAATTGTTTGCGGCATAGCCTGCCAGAACAATCATATCAATTTTCACTGAATAATGCAATTCAAATACACACACACAACCAGAATTGAATGCAAATGCAAACTAACAACTTAAACACAAAAATGATTTCTGTATCTGAATAGTTGGCTACTGTTGAAAATGTAGATGATTCAAAAAACTATTCAAGATTGACAAATAGTTAGATGAATGTACACTGTCTCCGCTTCTTTTACCTACATACTGAATGGTAAAGCATGCCAATTGCTTTACAATATATTTGTTGTATAATAGTCTGTAAAATATTACTCCAAGACTCGCACCAACTTTCACAATACTTTCTATTTTTAGGTGACAAATATTATGGTTTGTTAGACGGCTCCGATTATCTTCTTTACATATCAGAAAGAATAAACAATATAAATATATATATATATATATATAGAGAGAGGGAGAGAGAGAGAGAGAGAGAGAAAGAAGTTAGCAGGACCCCTTCTTTTGAGTAGTTCACCTCTGGATATATTAAACCTTTCAACTTGTCTCACTAAGTATGTTTTAAGGTTCATTTAGTTATCTTATTAAAGTTTTACTTGGAGACAATGTTATACAGATTTTACACATAAAGCTCCTTATAACCACATGATTTTGAAATACCAATAACCTTTCAATTGTTTTTGCTCGCTCAAACCTAGCAACCTAGCAACACACATATAAAGTTGTATTTGGTTTCAATCAGAGTAGTCAGCTTTGCAAACCTTAGAAGTAGCACTAGTGGGAGAATACCATTACCTTTTTATCTTAATACTTTTTGTTTTTTTTTCCCCTAGTTGGTAGTCACACACCCCCCTCCAAAGAATTGTTTGCATCTAACACGAATCGATCCTGAGACCTGATACTTCATGAGGCACCAGGCCCAAGTCTTTTCCAACTAAGCCAACCCCTTGGTTTATTTTTTTATATCTTAATCTTTCCTCTCCATCTATTGCAATTCATTATTTGTAAATTATTTTTCATCTACTACTAATTCCTTAATTGCACATTCGTACATCATTCAAGCTATGATAACAAAGGAAATCGTGCAATAGAAGGATCTTCTTCTAAGTATGTATCATGCCTTCAAATGTAATTCCATGGTCGAATGCATAGTTATTAAAGGTGCACTTAATCAAGCAGGTTTTCGGAAAGGACAAAAAACACACATCAGCATTTAATACACAGAGAATGTCTACTTCATGGCAATGAACATATTGGCTCATAAGATGCTTGTGTGTGTGTGTGTGTGTGTGAGAGAGAGAGAGCTCACCCATCCGATGCAAATCTTTTAGTGCATAACCACTAGGATAGTTCTCATATGATGCCATAAACATTATAACGGTGCACCCTAGACTACAAAATGAACAATAAGCATCGATAGATGAAGTAATTCAAATTTCTAATGACGGAATGTGCATACTCATCCAACCTGGCAATGAGCATTCCCAGCAGAGCAATAAAAAACCAAGTTCCAGAATCTCTTTTTCCTATTGTTGTAGCTGTAAAAAGTTGAAATCAGAAATTAATAAAAGTTTTCTACAAGTCAAAATAGAGAAACTGCAAAATCCAATACCAGATTTCTTGAAAAATGAAAGGACATAATATTTTGGGATAATTGAACATCAAGAAGCTACAATTACATTGAAAATTACAATACGTATTTAACTTTCTAAATTTTCATCCAAGCAAGCCAGCAAAAGCGTTACATAAACACTTCTAGATGAAAGCCATATCCATTCAAAAAGTATCAAATCCAGATACAAAAAAATCTGGTGAAATCTCCTGGATTCTTCATTACAAGATTTGTTATAGATTCTAATAATACAAGATGGTTTTAAGACCATACTCAATGATAAAGAAAGCTGGAAGTCAACTAAATATCCGTAACTCAGCAAAAACAATAGACAAATACTGAAACTGCGAACCAAGACAAGGATAGAAATAAAAAGGGAAAAAGGAACAAATTTGTGAAAAGTTAAATGTGGCAACAATCTGGAACAAGAAGAGAGAAACTTGACTGAGATGGATGGTCCTTCAAGCTATCAGGACCTGAGGCCAACCCCAACCACCTCACCCATCAGCATCTGATTACTGTTTAAGGGCAGCTCGGATGATAGTCATGTGGAAGAAAGATGACAAGACTAATTAGGAGTGACTAATTCAAGGCTCAAGCCAAAGGTGCTAAGACCGACAATGAGGTCTTTGTGAAGTTGAGTAATAAATGTTTTACATAAGCACTTCACCACTAGGTGACATATCCATGTTAGAAATGACATGCCATGAATACAGGTATGTGTGTTAAACTGTTGAATCAATACATCAGCATCATGTGTGTCTAATAGAAGATTAAATATTCCTAAATAACTTAAGGTTCCCTCCTACCATAAGTATGAACGAATCTTGGAATTGAAATTGTTAAAACGGACATATCTTCACTCATTATCCCTTCACCAGAGTCTTCTACATTTGCTCAAACTCAGTAAAGCTAGCCTTCCACACCTCTTTCCATTGGCATTTCCATTCACTTCCTTTCATTTGTCAGCAAATAATCGACATTATAATTCTTAATTTGCTCCCACCATTTTCCTCATCTAAACTCGCTCTAATAAATCTGCTATAAAATGGCATCCAGTCATCCTTCAGGCTTTCCCAACTCAAATTGGACAGCCAAGCAGAATAAATTGTTTGAGAACACTATTGCAATATATGATAAGGACACCCCTGACCGGTGGCACAACATAGCCAAGGCCGTTGGTGGGAAAAGTGTGGAGGAAGTAAAGATGCAATATGAGATGCTTCTAAGCGACATCAAATGCATTGAGTCGGGCAAAGTCCCCCTTCCTAATTACAAGAGCAATGCACGTAACAAGTAAGAGACAGTATCAGTAATGAAGAGCAGAGGTAACCTCCTAATGCCTCCTTTAAGTTTTAACTGGTAGGAAAGTTTTGGCAATTAACCAAATTGGATAATAGTCTATATCTTGTGTGAGGCTCATACTCATGTTCCCCCATCCCCTGCATATGTGATTAATCTATGGTATTCTTTTGCAAGTGGAACATTTTTTATAATAGTTCTGATGAGGGCTGATCGATATATAGCAGTAGAATGAACCACTTTTCAGAAGATTAAAAAATTTCATGTTTGCATAATTTAATTGTTCCATTAATATTGTAACACTTCATGCTGAAATGTGTGTGAAGCTCCTCTAAAGATCATAAATGATCCCTAGCAGTAAAGATCCGTACATTTTTCCTCTTAAGAAAAGATTTGGCTTATTAAAAATTGAAAGCACCTTTTGTCTGAGATAATGTATGTTGAGTGAGATTCTTAAGATGACTCCCATACTAGGAAATTCTGAGTTCTATAGGTGGAGCATTCCATAAGTCAATTTAATCAGAAATCGGATTAGCTAGCTACGTTATATAAAATCCAATCAAGGATGTCACTAACATTCTCTAACAATCCAATTATGGGATCCTAAAGTTGCATTGAAATGTGGATTTAATTTGGATTAATGTGCCAAATTCATATCCACACACAAATGATTCAAATTAAATAAAAACAAAGGTGTAATGTTTTTTTGTTGTTGATAACTTAGTTTGTGAGATATATAACTCCCAACATAGTTAACATATTAAACACTTTTAACCATGGCAATACAGTGAACCACTTTCTATTCCATACATATGCAGGCCAGAAAAAAGAAACGATCCAAAAGCCCATTTGAAGAGAGCAAATTAAACAATGAATCAAATCCATAATCTGGTAACTACTCTGATTGAAACAAATATATTGTAGATGATTCAAAAAACTATTCAAGATTGACAAATAGTTAGATGAATGTACACTGTCTCGGCTTCTTTTACCTACATACTGAATGGTAAAGCATGCCAATTGCTTTACAATATATTTGTTGTATAATAGTCTGTAAAATATTACTCCAAGACTCGCACCAACTTTCACAATACTTTCTATTTTTAGGTGACAAATATTATGGTTTGTTAGACGGCTCCGATTATCTTCTTTACATATCAGAAAGAATAAACAATATAAATATATATATATATATATATAGAGAGAGGGAGAGAGAGAGAGAGAGAGAGAAAGAAGTTAGCAGGACCCCTTCTTTTGAGTAGTTCACCTCTGGATATATTAAACCTTTCAACTTGTCTCACTAAGTATGTTTTAAGGTTCATTTAGTTATCTTATTAAAGTTTTACTTGGAGACAATGTTATACAGATTTTACACATAAAGCTCCTTATAACCACATGATTTTGAAATACCAATAACCTTTCAATTGTTTTTGCTCGCTCAAACCTAGCAACCTAGCAACACACATATAAAGTTGTATTTGGTTTCAATCAGAGTAGTCAGCTTTGCAAACCTTAGAAGTAGCACTAGTGGGAGAATACCATTACCTTTTTATCTTAATACTTTTTGTTTTTTTTTCCCCTAGTTGGTAGTCACACACCCCCCTCCAAAGAATTGTTTGCATCTAACACGAATCGATCCTGAGACCTGATACTTCATGAGGCACCAGGCCCAAGTCTTTTCCAACTAAGCCAACCCCTTGGTTTATTTTTTTATATCTTAATCTTTCCTCTCCATCTATTGCAATTCATTATTTGTAAATTATTTTTCATCTACTACTAATTCCTTAATTGCACATTCGTACATCATTCAAGCTATGATAACAAAGGAAATCGTGCAATAGAAGGATCTTCTTCTAAGTATGTATCATGCCTTCAAATGTAATTCCATGGTCGAATGCATAGTTATTAAAGGTGCACTTAATCAAGCAGGTTTTCGGAAAGGACAAAAAACACACATCAGCATTTAATACACAGAGAATGTCTACTTCATGGCAATGAACATATTGGCTCATAAGATGCTTGTGTGTGTGTGTGTGTGTGAGAGAGAGAGAGAGCTCACCCATCCGATGCAAATCTTTTAGTGCATAACCACTAGGATAGTTCTCATATGATGCCATAAACATTATAACGGTGCACCCTAGACTACAAAATGATAAATAAGCATCGATAGATGAAGTAATTCAAATTTCTAATGACGGAATGTGCATACTCATCCAACCTGGCAATGAGCATTCCCAGCAGAGCAATAAAAAACCAAGTTCCAGAATCTCTTTTTCCTATTGTTGTAGCTGTAAAAAGTTGAAATCAGAAATTAATAAAAGTTTTCTACAAGTCAAAATAGAGAAACTGCAAAATCCAATACCAGATTTCTTGAAAAATGAAAGGACATAATATTTTGGGATAATTGAACATCAAGAAGCTACAATTACATTGAAAATTACAATACGTATTTAACTTTCTAAATTTTCATCCAAGCAAGCCAGCAAAAGCGTTACATAAACACTTCTAGATGAAAGCCATATCCATTCAAAAAGTATCAAATCCAGATACAAAAAAATCTGGTGAAATCTCCTGGATTCTTCATTACAAGATTTGTTATAGATTCTAATAATACAAGATGGTTTTAAGACCATACTCAATGATAAAGAAAGCTGGAAGTCAACTAAATATCCGTAACTCAGCAAAAACAATAGACAAATACTGAAACTGCGAACCAAGACAAGGATAGAAATAAAAAGGGAAAAAGGAACAAATTTGTGAAAAGTTAAATGTGGCAACAATCTGGAACAAGAAGAGAGAAACTTGACTGAGATGGATGGTCCTTCAAGCTATCAGGACCTGAGGCCAACCCCAACCACCTCACCCATCAGCATCTGATTACTGTTTAAGGGCAGCTCGGATGATAGTCATGTGGAAGAAAGATGACAAGACTAATTAGGAGTGACTAATTCAAGGCTCAAGCCAAAGGTGCTAAGACCGACAATGAGGTCTTTGTGAAGTTGAGTAATAAATGTTTTACATAAGCACTTCACCACTAGGTGACATATCCATGTTAGAAATGACATGCCATGAATACAGGTATGTGTGTTAAACTGTTGAATCAATACATCAGCATCATGTGTGTCTAATAGAAGATTAAATATTCCTAAATAACTTAAGGTTCCCTCCTACCATAAGTATGAACGAATCTTGGAATTGAAATTGTTAAAACGGACATATCTTCACTCATTATCCCTTCACCAGAGTCTTCTACATTTGCTCAAACTCAGTAAAGCTAGCCTTCCACACCTCTTTCCATTGGCATTTCCATTCACTTCCTTTCATTTGTCAGCAAATAATCGACATTATAATTCTTAATTTGCTCCCACCATTTTCCTCATCTAAACTCGCTCTAATAAATCTGCTATAAAATGGCATCCAGTCATCCTTCAGGCTTTCCCAACTCAAATTGGACAGCCAAGCAGAATAAATTGTTTGAGAACACTATTGCAATATATGATAAGGACACCCCTGACCGGTGGCACAACATAGCCAAGGCCGTTGGTGGGAAAAGTGTGGAGGAAGTAAAGATGCAATATGAGATGCTTCTAAGCGACATCAAATGCATTGAGTCGGGCAAAGTCCCCCTTCCTAATTACAAGAGCAATGCACGTAACAAGTAAGAGACAGTATCAGTAATGAAGAGCAGAGGTAACCTCCTAATGCCTCCTTTAAGTTTTAACTGGTAGGAAAGTTTTGGCAATTAACCAAATTGGATAATAGTCTATATCTTGTGTGAGGCTCATACTCATGTTCCCCCATCCCCTGCATATGTGATTAATCTATGGTATTCTTTTGCAAGTGGAACATTTTTTATAATAGTTCTGATGAGGGCTGATCGATATATAGCAGTAGAATGAACCACTTTTCAGAAGATTAAAAAATTTCATGTTTGCATAATTTAATTGTTCCATTAATATTGTAACACTTCATGCTGAAATGTGTGTGAAGCTCCTCTAAAGATCATAAATGATCCCTAGCAGTAAAGATCCGTACATTTTTCCTCTTAAGAAAAGATTTGGCTTATTAAAAATTGAAAGCACCTTTTGTCTGAGATAATGTATGTTGAGTGAGATTCTTAAGATGACTCCCATACTAGGAAATTCTGAGTTCTATAGGTGGAGCATTCCATAAGTCAATTTAATCAGAAATCGGATTAGCTAGCTACGTTATATAAAATCCAATCAAGGATGTCACTAACATTCTCTAACAATCCAATTATGGGATCCTAAAGTTGCATTGAAATGTGGATTTAATTTGGATTAATGTGCCAAATTCATATCCACACACAAATGATTCAAATTAAATAAAAACAAAGGTGTAATGTTTTTTTGTTGTTGATAACTTAGTTTGTGAGATATATAACTCCCAACATAGTTAACATATTAAACACTTTTAACCATGGCAATACAGTGAACCACTTTCTATTCCATACATATGCAGGCCAGAAAAAAGAAACGATCCAAAAGCCCATTTGAAGAGAGCAAATTAAACAATGAATCAAATCCATAATCTGGTAACTATATTGACCAAAACTATACTAATTCTTTTACATTGAAGTCAGTAATTCACAATTATGAATGTACAGAGCACCCTGTTCTTGTGTTTAATTACAAATACTGAAATCCATAAATGCTACCACTAACTACTAAGATACCTCAGACTTGTTGATTGACGACTTGAAGCGACACAATGGCAGCCACTCTGCGATGCACTGGACATGGTAGATACGAGAGCATGCCATCCGAATGACTCGAGACCCAACGACGATTTCATCCTTACATATAACACAGAGTACTTCCTCCTCCTCACCATGATCATCAATATCACCTTCAAATCTCACGGGCTCTACTGTCTCCTGAAAGTACTCCCTCATAGCTAGTTCCAACAATGACAATTCCAAATCTTGATCATGAGCTGTATCCCTCACTATTCTTCCTATTTCCCCGTGGATCAAACCAAAGTCTGAAAATGATTTGGACAGTATCATCTGATTAACCTTCTGATGAAGTTGAAACCAACGTTCTACCTGCTCCTTTGCAAGGTTTATTGCTTCAAATTCAGCATGGGGTAAAATCAGTCTATTAACAATGTATATGTCCAATCTGAATAGCTTCTGACCGGAGTTGCAAAATCTATTGACCGTGCAACTAGCCACGTCCAAAACATGCAGGATTAGGTCGTTGGTGTTCTCCAACTCAGTTGGCTCACAGAGCATCTTCTCTAAAGGGAAGGGGATTTTCATGCCATGGATCATTGTGTAGAGCAAATCATAGGTGAAGTACTTGTATGGACGTCGTGATGAGATCTCTCCGATACCGTGTCGGGTGATGAGGCCTCTGGTTCTGCTTTGATAAGTCTGCTCCACACGGAAGTTGAATTCGACGTTGATGCAAGGCAGATATTTACCATCATCACCTCCGTTATTACCATAGCCGTTAACCCATACATAGAGCTTTTTTGTGGTGGCGGCCATAGCAGAGAAGAGGGCCGGAGATGGAGGAGAGAGATCAGGCGCAGATGGGGGAGAAAGATGATGCTCTATGGGCAGGAGTGCCCCTTGGATGCGAAGTATGGACCACAGTCAGATTTGAATTCTATTGGCGATTCGCCGTACAAAGAAGGCCTTTCCTGCTTGGGGTTGATGAGTGATCACTAAGAGGTAAGAATGAGTACAGCCAACTATACCTTCTCTTATAGGGTTGGTTTCTTGGAACTGGATCAGGCAGTGCTCAATGAATGAATAAGCAAATGATTTGTCCCTTCTATTTGATGCGATGGATTCGACTTTCTATTTGTGACAAACAAGTCATGCTCAGCAAGCGAATAAAAAGGAGTCAGGCGCAGATGGAGCCTGGAGGAAGAGGGTTAGGGAATTGAAGGCGGTTACTACTACTTTGGCAGAGAGGAGAGATCAGGCGCAGATGGAGAGGGGAGAGAGAGGGAATTGAAGGCGGTTACTACTAATTTGGCAGAGGAGACAGATTAGGCGCAGATGGAGAAGAGAGAGAGGGAATTGAAGGCGGTTAGTCTATAATTTTAGGAAAGTAAAGTAAAAAGTTAACTTAATGGTATCTTGGTTTGGAAGTAAAAAACATGGGATAAAATAGGAAATCTCTTAATCCTCTTATAATTTATTTATTTATAAATTCCTCTTATATAGTTATTCTTTATTAGTTTTTAATATTATATATATAAGTGGAGCTGATTATTATTCTACCATTAATATTATGACATTACTCTCTACTTAAATAAAATTAATTCATTTTTTACTGTTCCATATCCTTAATCTTTTAAAATACTCATATTATAATCATTACTTGACATTAGAATTTGGAAAAATAAATCTAAATAAAAAAATTTATAAATTAATTGGAGTATTTCATATGCATGCTTATGAAATGTCAAATCAGTAACGTATGCCTACTAATTGTTGTGGGAGTAAGATTCTAACTATTATTAGATAATTGTGAAAAATTCTCTTATGAATATTTTTAATAAAAAAAACTCACCTCTATTATCTTAAGAGACATTTTTAACTAATAATGTCTATTTAAGTGATTATTTGAGATAATTTTTTGAAAAAAATTATCCCTTAATAGATTTTTTTTCTCTTCTCTCTCTCTCTCCATTAAGCAAGGTATGTCAAGCAGCAAAGAAAAATTCCCAAAAAAAAAAAAAAAAAAGGAAAGTCAATAAAATTATATTTAAGCTATATAATTAAGAAAATAAAATTGAGTACAACCGCACAGGATAGAAAAAATCCTCCATGGTGTTGGAATAGAAAATGGAAAAATTAAACAGCTCAAAAACTAACTTGATTTTACCGGCCATTATAATAATTTACCATGTTTTCTTAGTGTCCAATTTTTTTCTTTTCCTTAGTGGACTAAAATTGGCAATTAAAAAGTAACATAATTTCTTTTTCAAATTTGAATTTTTTTTTTCTTACTTCGAGAACACAAAAATACCCCAAAGTTGAACATTTCAAAATAGAAATAAAAATGGATTTTTTTATTTTTTTTACTTACTTTGTGAACACAAATTCCCCAAAGTATCTTTTTTAGACGAAATTGTTGTAGTTGACTTACTCAAGTTAAAAATCTAAAAATATAACCACTTTTAATGTGAAAGGACATCGCTCCCTCTATTTAATTCACAAGAATCTAATTATAATGGACATTTAAGTCATTTAGTTTGAGATAAATACATTTATCATCTCATCATATATTGTTTTGATTCCATCACCTATTTCTTGGAAATTGTTTTGATTCCACTACCACTAGAAAATTACATACCATGTAGAGGAAGTATATGGGGTAATTTTTAGAAAGTTTATTCACTCTTATTATTAAGATTTTTTTTTTGTTTTAAATTCTTGTTATTAAGATGGTAAGAAACCAAAGAAAACATAATTGTTGTTACATGCAAATGATTTGTTCAATTACATGAATGAAATCATGACATAAAAAAATAATAATAATAATAAAACCAATAATAAAAGTAAATAAATAAAAAGTAAATCATTTTATAGAATTACTCAAACACAATTAAATATTCCATTCTTGGATTGACCAAGTGTTGGTGCTACGAAAAAATAGGCTTTCAATTTCAAATTTTTTTAACAGATTTCAAACAATATTTCCAACATATAAATTAGCTATTACATGCATAACATAACATAAATGTAGCCGCTAGGCCCGCTACATAATGGTAGATAATGACAAAATAATTGTAGCGGCTACAAAATAATATAATGAGTTGTTCTGACTTCAGAGTTTTTTTTTTTCTTTTTTTTCTTTTTTTCTTTTCAATTTTTACTTAAAAATTTGAATAAAAGAAAGTTAAAAAAAAAAAATTCATAATTTGAAATCTCTCTAAATTACTAACATTATATTCTACTATATTTGAGGGCTTAGTTACAGCATCATCCAATTGAATAAAACTTTTTAAAAAATAATGTCTACTAACTCTTCTCTAAACTTTTTCTTTCATTCTGGTCTTGGAAATATATATATATATATAGATATATATATATATAGTTTGTGGATAAAGTCTTGTGTCTACTAAGTCTTGTGTTTTATGATTTTGGGGATTTAAGTGTATAGTTAGAGTTATATTGATAAGGAAACCATTTATTTCAGGCGTGAGAGAACATTAATACATCCAGAGGGAGAAAATGAATGAGAGATTTGAGGCATCAGAATTAGAATGAGTTGGTAACACGGTTAGCAAACGTATGTGTTTCTTGTGCCCCTAGGCTCAAATGATTATTGACACCTTTAAAATTTTGATTGAACACACCACACCACTTCTCAAAAAATTGGCTTCAACTCAGATTAGGTTTGGATTAACTGCCCAAATTGCATTTTAATAATATAAATTATTTTTACTCTGGTTTGAAAATTCTCATTATAAGTTGGGGATCAATTTAGCAGCAAATTCTCAGCCGCAAAACAGAGATTCATGGAAGAAAATTTGAACTCCAAGGAACAATTAAAAGCCAATAGGTGCTTATTACCAATCAATAATTTTTTCATTATTTTCAAACGTTTTTTAACTTATTTTAGACTATGCTCTTCTCCGCCTTTATTCTTCCTAGCTATATAAGCCCACAAGAGGACATGTATCAGCAACAAGACCAAACAGTACTCCATAAATGCCTGATTGATCGGAGAGGTGAAGAATCAGAAGCATCAGAAACTACTTCCCGCAAGCAAGCAGTGGGATGAGTACTCCATAAACCTCTACGTTGCAAACATCTTTTCTTCACCAAGTCTCTTCCAGGACGTGACACCTGAAACCTAGCAGTATTATGAAGAGAAACAATGGCAGCCAGCCAGGTCCATTGCCATTTGCCACCATTACCGTATCTGATATCTCCCATATAAGTAATCTACACAATCAAACTGGGTCAGGCAGACATCTGCATTTCATATATATATATATATATATATATATATATATATATATATATATCTTGGAGTATTTAATTTGACCTTTAGTACCTGTCCCGAGTGCTATATTGGTTCACCAACCGGATGGATATGATCATACAATCCAACATTTTCTCACATAAGAGGATTTAGGCCAATTAAAAAATAATTTCCTTCAGATTTAAGGTTGATCTTATTCCAGCAGTGACCCAGAAAGTGGGTGGGAAATCAACACATTAACACCTCAATTAAATTTTGTTAGACTGGTGGAATTGAGCTCCAATAAAATTAAAGTAAATTGTACTCAAAAGGTTAAAAAATACAGAATCATAAATATTTCAAATTAGCAACCATGCTAAAGCTGTGCAAAGGTAATTATAGACGTACTCTACCAGCTGTTGATTCTTGTGATTCATCATCTTGGTTGCATAACCCCATAGCACTACTCAAAGAGGCATGACAAATCAGTTGGACCGTAAAGTAGAGATGCAAACGGGTGACGTATCAGTCGAATCCAAAAGCCCTCTCCACGAGCAGGACATTTTATCTATTCCTTAGTTCAGTAACTACTTGAAGAAACATCCAGCAGATTTGAATGTTTCCAAGTAATTTACCTATTCCCCAATCATCTGATTGCATAGAGGCTCTACGGCACAGAAACCATGCAACAAGAAGAAAAAGAATAGCTCGACATTGGTGGTATTCACAAGATGGCATGTCTGACCTCTTGTTTACTTGCTTATGCAGTATTACATTCAGTTAGCAATTCGATTGGAAGGTCATCACTTGGTTGCATGGTCGTGGTAAGAAGATGATCCATTTACAGTTGATTGGTAAGAAGACCATGCTAAGGTAGCCGTGCCAAGTGTAATAGCAGCAGAAACAGAACCCCACACCCACCAATGCCTTTTCTTCCTTTGTTGCCTCAGATGCCGTGTCATCTCTATACCAAAGTAAATAGCAGGAAAACATCAGAACTATTTATAGTAGACACAGAAAAGATGCACGCCACAGCCACACACACATCACTTCAACTCGACTCAAACTCTTGACATTAATTTGGTCAGCTTAGGTCCGATCTATTTATGTATATCTATATATATATCTATATATATATATATATAAATTTATGCAATAACTCTGGGATCATCTATGGTAAGATAATCTCTCTCTCAGATTTCTCACAACAAAAAAAGCAAAAATAAGAAAGATGATGACTTCTCCACAAACCCTACTATTCCTCAATGGCTCAACCTATCTCTCGACCTTATCCATCGTCTCACCTATAATTGTTCCAATCACAGAGACTCATTTTCTTCCAATTCCATTGCCACAATCCATTCTCCAGAATCCTCGAAGCAAAACCTAGTGCTGATTCTGCAGACACATGCACACAAATCAATTTTAAACTCTTATTGTCAATTTTCACCAATCCTTGAATTTCAATTATGTTTGTTTTGTTCCATTTTCATTTTCCAATTGTTCCTATATTCACTTGCTCTCAACTGTTTAGTAAAACTGCCCAGGGGGGAATGAAAAGAATGTCAGGGCTTGATCCAATCCGTTCAACCCCGCTTGAGAGCAACCAGACCTGTCTAATTACTTTGTGCCCAGCCAGACGTAGTAGCTCAAGCTGAGGGTTGGACTGTACAGAGCTTGGATGAGCAGGGTTAGTTCTCGGGTTGAGCCAAGAGTCCAAGACTGACACCCACCTGATCCAACCCACCCGTGTTGCAGCCTTATCTCAGTTAACTTCTGCTTTTGTAGTAAAGAGCTTTGGTTTGGACATCTATCCCTAATCCATATACAATCGACTTGAAAAGTATGAAGAGCAAAATGAAAGAAATCAGCAAGTCAGCTTTCTGAATTATGAAGCTATGAGCCCTATAAGCTTATAAAGGTATATTTTCAACAACAGGAGTAAGTTTAACCCAACTCTTAATATATGCAGTCATGAAAAATCACAAATTCATAGTTACATATATCAAGGATCTACCAAAAATAAAACTAACAAAAGGTTATGATCACCAAATCTGTGACGACCCTATTCCAAGTATTATGATATATCTAGATTATAGTCACCCTTCGTGGACACAAGTATGATGGTTGGAAATTTAATGATAAAAAAAGGGGCAAAATTCTGATATGCCAATATTACAAAATTCAAAACCTCTTTATCTACTTAAAGATGGGCTTTATACATTTGAACAATAAGAAGAGAAAAATGTACCTTACATATAGGCTGATTTTTGTAACTTTGTCAAATGCTGACTATATATCTTAATTTTTTCTTATATTTTTTCTTAAACGCATTTGTAATATATATATATATATATATACTCTTCCTGTGTCTCAAAATTATTGGGCTGTTTGGGGAATCCAACCTTTTATTTTAGTGATTTTTATTTCTTTTTTATTGTATTGATAAGAGTGAATTTACAAATTTATCTTTGTTAAAAGTCAAAATAGTATTCCGCTGTTTAGTCAAAAGGATAATTTGGGAATGTTATAAAAAATAGAACATTCATTTTTGGAATAGGACATGTATTTTGGGACATCCCAAAAGAGAGAGATGGACAAGAATTTTGGGAGTTGTCTAACGATATTCCAGTATCTTTCAAGCCCAACATATCTTGCGGTTCCTCTCCCAATGATATTTGAGACAAACCGGGCAATATGAACTTGTTGGGACAGATCTTCTGCGGGATCAACCTGCAGTTTTTCATTCTCCACTACATCAATGGGATCTGCAAGTGTCAACCCTACAAGAGACAACTGTTCCCGAATCCTAAGCCACCGGCTTTGCATATATTTCAAGGTTTCTTCTGCTTGCTTCCGCTTCTCTATCTCCAGCACTAAACTCAATCTTATTTCCCGCAATTCCTCTTCAACATCAGGCAGGGAAGCCTGCGGCCCATTCTCAGAAGACAATTCTACAAACAAGTAAGAAATACAAGTAAGCCTACCAAGATTGGAAAGCAGTAACAATAATATGATTGTGATGTTACTGGAAATATATAACAAATAAGGTGGTTTCATGGAAATGTTGAAGCCAAAATTATACAAGTTTTAGAGAATAATATTTTAATAATGAAGTGGGGTTAAAGGGTTCTGTAAGAATTGTGAACACATCTAATTACAATGCAATACTTCCTACTTTATATGTGATAAAGAAAACAAGAAGACAACACATTAACATATGCAAGTATGCTAACATATGAACAGGGACATCTAATCACATTGTCAAGTATTCAGATGCTATAGACAATGGCTTAAGCAAATACAGATAAAACCATCTAAATGACAGAAGCAAAGCGCAGGTACCTTCCCAAGCATCAAAAAACTCCGGAATTGGTGGCGTAAGATTTAAAGACTGTTCCACTCCCACCCCATTATTACTCTCAGCCTCTGTGTTGCTCTTGGCACTCGTCAATGCCAAATCACTTCTTCCAAGTACCCCATCATAACTACCATTCACATGCTCCTCCTCAACAGGACTAGGAACAGCAACAGTAAAAGTAACATCATTGGTCTTGTCAGCAACCTCCTTTTCAGGATTATTTACATTCTCACTTACATCCCTTTCATCTACAGCTTGTTTGCAAGTAGCAACACCAACTTCAGAGAAACTCTTGAGAAGGCGTGGCCCACGTCGTTTGTGATTGATGATGTAAGGAGACGGAGGGAATGAAGTTGGAGAATCCGGAAGCGGTGTTGGCTCGGGAGTGGCATAGAGTGCTGGTGACATCCGAGCCCAGTGGTGTTTCTGATTTATCGTTGTCACCATTGATGTACTGTTTCTCCCCTCCAATGTCGAGTTAGGAGCACTCATTCTGTTCTCCGGATTCAAATTAGGAGCATTGTTTCTCCTCTCGAGTTTCGAATGAGGAGCATTCTTTGCTGCTTGGATGGATTTTGAAGCCCCTGGTTCAAATAACCTGTCCAAAGCTATTGCTGTGTAGGTCGGCATGACTCTGAATCGTCAAGAAATCTAAACCAATTTAAAGCACCTGTGATCAGGCTCAAAATTTTCACGCATAATTGGACGAGCACCCTTTTGTACCAACCAAACAACATGTAAATTTTAAAGCAAAGAACACAGAGAAAAACAAAAGCGTCAAATTATAGAAACCCTAATCCGACCTTGGGAAAATCTCGATCCATATTCAAAAACCCTAGAAAACCTCGGTAATATATATGTATATATATAACAAAAAAACATATTAAATCAAAATATTCTCAGCTTCTCGAACAGACATGCTCAAAGTTAATCCTTCAAAATCCAAGAAAAGTAGGCAGAAAAAAAAAACTCGTATATTGATTTTACATGGGAAGGTCTAACTTATGATACATATAGATATAAACATAATATATACCGTGTATGTGTGTGTGTATATATATATGTGTGAATGAATTAGTTTACCTTAGGATGTGAAGAAGGTGAGTGTGGAAACCCTAGAATGAGTAGGGATCAGAAATGCATCGTCATATGAATATGATCAATGCTCATCGTCAGTGCGCAACACGATAACGGATTCACTTCTTCTCCTCAATCCTTGGAAAGGGTACGAAGCTCTTCGTGGTATCGAACCGCAAAAAGTTTGAATTACTTCTTGGTGAGTATTATTAAATAGCTCAGGGAAAGGTCTGTTTCAGCCTACGAGCAATTATGAAGTCTGAGATCTGAGGAAGGGTAGTATCGACTTTATACAGGCTTTTAGGCTTCTTGTCCAAGAAAAAGGGTGTTTGTCCGGTCAAAGTCACCAACTAAACCCACGAAGTTAAGGGGTTGGTAACTTGGTATTCGAAAGTCGAAATTCTCTCTAATGTAAATCTTAAAAGTAGAACATTCAAAATATTACTCTTCAATATTGTTGCTCTCTGATCCAAATTCAATTTAGTGTGGATTCGCTTTCATGGAGGATTGCTCTTGAAGTGTGGTGACTCTGTCAGTCAATAAGAGTGTTAGTTTACCTTTTATGAAGATCAGATCTAACAAAGAGAATATGGTATGTGGCGCAATGTTAAATTCACAAGTGTTCTTACATTTAAAATAATAAAAATTAAATAATTTGATAACTATTCGGATTAAACCCAAATGAATCCGAATCAAATTCTATTTCTCTCCTCTCTTCTTCTTTCTCACGCTTCCCTAATCTCGTCCGCCTCTCCCCCTCCCTCTCTCTCACGCTCTCATATTTTTAGAGAGAAACTCCACTCGTGTCGTTGGAGAACTGGAAGAAGAAGAGAAGTGATGCAGAGGAGGAAAGAGAAGACTAAGAAGTTTTGAGGTAAGCAAGTATATTTTTTCTTCAATTAGGTATTGGATTTCTCGTGGGATCAATTATTTAGATGCCCTCTTCTGATTTTATGTTTCAAATATCTAACTTGCAAGAATCATATATGTATGGGAAGTTTGGTAATCATCAGTTAGTTGTTAAAGACAAAATACTCGGTAATGACATGTACTACATTGTGTTTCGTAAAAATAAATAAATAAAAATAAAAATCACTAAGATTGTCCATAAAAAACCTATTGCATTTGCAGTAAGATTGTCCATGTAATCTTAGATATGTTTGGTTTAGATGAATTTTTTAGTATTGTAGAATTACTTTTATTTAGTTTTGTACAAGTAAAATAGACTATATATGACCAGCAAAAGTATCACAATATATAACCATATAAATGTCAGTTTTAGTTATTTTATTAGGGTTCACCGCATAGATATGCTGAACACTTTTTTTCTAAAAAAAAAACTAGTGAAATACAGCTCTCTTGGATGAGTTCAATATGAACTTAGTGGACGTGTCAGAACTTACCATATCTTCAATATCCAGCTTCTCCCTTTACCACACACTATATTTTAAGAAGAAGAAGAGAAGTAAATAGTCTCTTGAATTAGGGAGTTGTAACTTATAGACTGATTGGGAGTTGCACATGAAGAACCACCACCTAATTAGTGAATGATGAAAGGTCCCTCTTGGTTAATTTCTTCACGTGTTTTAAATTTCGTGATTGCAAATTTAATCAAATCATTGTCCATCATGACAATCAAATTGCATGTGTTGTAAGAATTAAACAGTTTTGAAAAAATACATGATCTTTGTTTCTTGGTTTTGTCTTGTAGTTCTCTTTGAACGGTGGTTTTTTCTTGGAGTCTTTGTCAAAAGGATATGCAACTTTGGCCGGAAGAGAAACTATCAAGGAGGAAATTCTCAGATCAATGAGTCAGTATCAATCGCTATAGGGTTTCAAAGTCAATTGTCGTTGTTGGACTATATTCTCTCCTTTTAGTAAAGATATTTGATTTGTAATTTTTTTTCTGAGGGTGATAGGTTTGTTAATTATTTGGACCATGTTATGTCTTTTTTAGTAAAACTGTTTGGTTTGTAAATCATCTTTTGTCTATTAGAGTGCTACTATGTTCAATAATGACACCAACGGTCTACAATTAGTTTATACGATTTGAGTGACAAAATGATATGATCAATCTCATGTTGAGATTTTGAAACACGATGGAATAAAGAAACCACCATTCGATTCTCCTCCACTTGGGGGAAAAGTCACTTCTAGTTTCCAAGACGTAAACTTTACACATCTAAATAGGAAAAGAGAAAAAAAAAAATGTCAACTCCAATTACCATCGGGTAGGATGTTTTAATTTGCAATATTATAAGCACTTGTTACTAGTACTGGTCATGACAGCATTGCCTGGAAATTTTTGCATATAGAGGATATTCAGTTGATTTCATGTCAAGTGAAGAGTGTCAACAAATTATTACTGTGAAAGAAAAGAAAAAAAAAAAAAACACTTGGAAGAAAGAAAATCATCTCGTGGTTATATGCTATTTGAGATCAAAATCACTAAGTTCCATTTGTTGGGATGGAAAATATTTTCTGGTATTTGGTTGTCGTAAAATATTTATTCATCAATTTTTAGCAAGTTATTTTATATGTCCCGCTCAATGGACTCGACTGTCAACATAAACCTTTGCCAAATACTGACAAAGTAAAAATAAAAAAATATTTTAACTGAAAAAAAAAATTCCAAAAAAAATATTTTACGTGAAACAAACCATAGCCTAAATGCCAAAACCCCATAGAGAATTTAAGTGTATAGTTAAAAATAATAATAAAAAGAAAAAATAAAAAATCAGCTTCAAAACCAATGTTCCATAAAATGATGACCTTGTAGGTGCGAGGTACTATTTAATCAGCTTCGGCAAATAAATCCAGCCGTAAAACATTGCATTTGACATCAATCTTCCTTATGTTCAAATAAAAAAAGAAGTGAATAAGTACTCATGACTAGGAAGGTAATACTAGTTAAAACAAGAACAATCAAATTATAAAAGACCAACCTCATGCCCAATTTTCAGTTCCTTTTGAATTTTTTGAAAGGTTACTTAAAGGTGCTTTAAATTCCTGCCAATAATAAAATACAGTATCAATATGATAAATTTAACTTGAATAGTTTTAAATATATATATATATATGTAGAAGAACATAATTACATGAAGTAATTGAGTGTAAGTCTTATCAACTTGCTAAGTTGCAGTCGCACCAGAATATTCAGGTCATTGCCAAATTAGTTGATAATGGAGCATTGCTTCCATTGTCCAGACAAGATTCTTGCTAGAAATTTAATTATAAGTTCAATATAAACATAAATTATTTTTCTACAGTACAGTTGGTTTTTTAGTGATAATTCAACTCTAATTTTGACAGTAACTCATGAATAATACCGTTAGAAGGCATTGCTTAGAATACACTCGACTCACTTTAGCTTATTCCAAATCTAACAAGTTTCAGCTTAAGTTACTATGATATTTTATGTTGCATTATTTTTCCCTACTCACTAAGAAAGAAACAACTAAATGAAAATGACGAGTGAAGTGCATATAAGAATCAGCAAGTTATAAATATAACCAAAAAATTAAATAAATAAAATTATACAAGTTATAATATATATATATATATATATATCTATATATATATATATTTCAAGTGAGCTTTTAAGTCGACCGCGTGGACGTCCAAGTGTGGCTTTCCTTTTGACCCCATAAACTTCTTTTGGCACATAATTGGCAAGTGGATCCCCGATACTTCCATCATCTAGAGAAAGTGTTTTCTTCATTAACTCTAAAACCTTGAGCAATTGAATAGAACGTTCATGTGTGCATATGCAGATAACTTCTCGTGTTCTGCTGCAAAAGTTGCAATCTCACGAAAATTGCGACACAAATTACTATAACGCTTTTCTATAGACTCCTTGGGACTATCATTAGACTTGATCACATGATAATTAATGATACTTCTAGCTTTGGCATCTCTCGTCCACCTCTCTTCATGATGTATTGAGATGGAATTCTTTTGATATTTTTGTTATCTAACACCTTCAATGCATGTGCACATGGTATGCCAACAAAAGTGAGCTTCATGCAACTGCACGTGACTGACTGTTTCTGTTGAACCCTCAAATTTGACCAAATTGTCACACCCCGCTACCAAGAGGCTCTGCCACGCAGGCGCCACTCAGGCGCCCAGCAGACGATGACATAGAGCCTGCATGGACTAGAGCTTTCTAGACTTCTCTACACAAGTATGGAACTTTCCGGAATTCTCTAGATTAGTGTGGAGTTGTCTAGCACACTCGGGTAGGCTGACTTAGCGCTTCAAGGGGACTTGAAAGTGTCTAAGGCCGCACGGGAGCTTGAAAAGGTTCAAGTCCGTGACAAAATGCTCTCTAGATTTGCCAACAAAAGATACTTTGTACTCAGATGTCATCCCAACTTTACCAACTCTATATATACAATAATTGCCCCAACTCATATACTCTTTCTGAAACAATTCAAAAACATGTGGGGTATAAACCTCTACTGTATGTTTTAACATATCTGCATTGGTTAATAACATTGGTGTAGTTCGTGTCATCTTGAAATCTGTACGTAATTCTTCATACCGTCGATCTGCCAAAACCCTCTCATAATGTTTGAAGAATCTTAAAAGGTCATGTCTAGGTTTTAAGTAGTTCTTCAAAACATTGTTCATCCTTTCACTGCGTCATGTGCTTTTCATATCTACAGTAAAAGTGTGTCGTCCGTACACCTATGCCCATTTTTCTCGTGCTTCAAATAAATCCTTCAACCATTTATTCTCCTTTAAACAATAATTCTCAAGCATGTTATTCCAAGCCAATAACCAATCGTCTTCATCTTCATAGTCATATACACGCTAAGATCGTGAGCAAATTCGCTTGATCTATGAAACACGTGACACAAATTTTTCGCAGCATTCTAATAAATGTGCCAAACACACAATTGATGGTGAGTTTCAGAAAACACATTTGAAATTGCTTTGGCCATTGCTGCAAATTGATCTGTAAGATTGTCTTTGGTTGTTTTCCATACATGGCACCAAGAAAGTCTCAGATAACCATTTAAACGAATCTGCGATTTCATCATACAATAAAGCTGCACCAAATAGCACTGTTTGCTTACGATGATTAACTCTAATAAATGGTGCAAAAGGTTGGCCATAATTATTTGTTCGATAAGTTGTGTCAGAGCAAACAACATCTCCAAAGAGGCCATAATCAGCCACTGAATGTGCATCTGCCCAAAAAAATATTGGTGATCATATCATCCTTATCCAGCTGAAGTGAATAAAAATAAGATGAATTCTCTGATTGCATCTCCTGAAAATATTGCAATATAGCCCCTCCTGAAAATATTGCAATATAGCCCCAGCATCACACTTTTCCATTGTTGTATGTATGTAATTTATGTAATCTTCATCCAAAAATCCAAGATGCTCTCGTCCTCTAACTTCTCTGCTCATTAAATCTACAGTTGCTTTAATTGGTATTCCCGATTTATCTGCATCATCTGCATGTACTTTTTGAGCTCTAGATATAATTAAGTCTTAGCATGTGCTTCGTAAGAATATGAATCAATTCACGATTGAGGTTGAGTTCATCGGGCGGGACACATAAAATAACTTGCCGAAAATTGATGGATAAGTTATTTTTGTTAAATTTTAATAAATCTTTACTTCGTAAATATTTTACAACAACCAAATATCAGAAAATAAAAAAAAATATTTTTTAAAAAATATTTTACATCCAAACAAACAGAGCCTGAGAGTCCATTATTCGTAAATAAGAATCTAAATAATATAATAAAGAAGAGGGACCAATTCATACCGCTTGAAATTGGGGATTGATTGAGAGGGCAAATATCTAGGACTCATAATACTCTGTAAAAAAAGGTAATGAATCTCTTTCTTTCTTTTTTTTTCTTTTTTTTTTAAATCTAATAAAAAAAACTTGTTAATTATTATTATAATTCTGGCTAACTTCAAAATGCAGATCGAGTACAAATTAAAACTCTATATATATATATATATATATATATATATATATATATATATATATATTCACACACGCACACATATATATTGTTTATTATGAATTAAAAAGAGAAGAAAAATATTGTTTTATACTTTAACAACCTCATTTATCAACTATTTTCTCTCCAATTTTCCTTCCATATCAATTATAGACATGCATGCTTCTAGAAATATACATTAAAAATGCATAAATAAATAAAAATAATTAAAAAAACCCATTACAAATATTATTTTATTTTATTTTTAAATTTTAATTTTTATTACCTAGTTTGTTCACAAATTTTATTTTTTTTTTTACAAAAATCACACATACTCATTTTGTTCATTTGAACATTGGAATCATCATTATCCACTTTGAAAAATAAAAAAGATACTACTTGATCGACCCTTGGTGCCTTGAGTACCCATGCATTAAGACAGATCCCAACTAACACGTCTAACTGCTGGTATTGCGATCCCAGCTCCGTAGCTCTAAATTGCCATTCACAGGGGACAGACCTATCAAAGAATAACCCAAATTTCAGCACCCTGCTATATATATATATATATTAATTAATTATACATTGACGATTTTTTGTGATGAAAATCGAACCCAAAAGTTGGCTCACCATGCACTTTAATAGGTATTAGTAAATAATATAGATATATCGGGTAGCATCTATGCTTTATAAATGCTAAATATAGTGCCACTATAACAAGTAGTCTGGAGCTTTCACAATGGCATAATCTGTCATATTACATGTTGCCTGTACAAATTATAGATAACGCCTCAAAGTTTGAATTTTTACTTTCTGAGCCTCGTCTTTCCCCAACTTGAACAAATGGTGAAGAGCCGAAGCTGAGAAAGCAAGTGCCAAAAAAAACAGTGTCTATTAGCAGCTCCTACGAAATAATTTAGCCGGTCGTGCATGAAATGTTACATGTGGCATTCAGCGTGCCAAGGACTTGCACAAACAATGTCTAATAAATTAAACATAAGAAACAAAAACTGGAGAATGTAAAGGAAAAAGAACTACAAATATTTTGTCTGAGTTCTTATCTAGCACTTGCTTCACAATGTGAACTGCTGCAGCCGCCAACTGCATGGTGTTCATAATCCAACCTCATCATACAGGTCCATACATCACTTTCGGCAAAGGCGTCGTAGCGGTGTCTGACTGGGAACATTACTTTGAGTTCTCGATTCACCTGGATGGCCAGGCTCGAAAGTCTAATTTTTGACTTTGGTCCAAACTTTAGAAAAGTTGGATGTCTCCCCAGTATGAAGAAGTTGTGCGCATTAGTAATCCACCACCATACAGTCCCCTTCCACATCTATCCGGGAAATTCTCTAGGTGGCGCCAAACAGATTTTAACTCTCAATTTTCAAAATCAAGATGGTATCATATTAAACACAATCTTTTCAAGGTATACAGTGGTTAAATATGGGTCCAACTTAAATTTTACAATGGTGATGGTTTCAAAATTAGAAACCACATGCCATGGTACTATTATTTATGGTTATGTTTTATAACTTTTCGCCCCGGCCCGGACTTCTTTATTTGAATTTCATGGTTATGTTTTGTAACTTTTCGCCCCGGCAGACTCCTTTATTGGCTGCTGACTTTTTCTGGTTTTTTTGTCATTGATCTTCTCCCCCTCTTTCCCTCTCCAGACCCATTTTTGGGGCAAATAGACCCCATTTCAGTGAACGACATTAAAGTTGTGGATTTTCTCACAAGACTATTAAGAATTTATTGTGATAATCCCGATGCAGTTTGTTTCTATTATAGCAATGCTTCAAAAAAGTGGATAAACATAAAGTTCCTCATCGTCTTTTTTAATGAGTATAAAGTTTCACAGTAAAGAAGAGTTCAGAATCATCAAGTGTTGGTAGATGACAAAAGAACATGATCAATGGTCGCAGATTTTGATTTTTGATTATCTAACTTAATATTTTATTTTTACACTTGAGAGTCTGTCTATGCACACGGGAGAATAATCCTTCAAGTGTAAACCCCTCTCCACTTGTCATAACTTGAATTATCGAGACATTGACATTCAACTTATTCTTTTTAAGTGGATGATCTTCTAGTTATACTAAGATTATGTCTCAATCAATAAGAAGCATAGCCCAACTCCTCGATTGAAATAAGATAAAGTCTAAGACCAGAACTAGAGTAATCACACTTCATCTTCTCTTCCTCAACCAATCCCTTCAATTCCTTTCCCCTGCTTGTAAGAGTCAAAGGTTCTATTCGACCAGTCGATGTGATAGTACACCGTCCTTGTCCCCACGAATATATCATATATTTATCACTAACAAACATTATTACAATTTTGTTTCAGTTAGGCCAACTCCCAAATGGCGCGTTATTCTATCAGGAGAAAGGGATATGGAAAGGAGGAGTCCCAAAGTTGGTTGGAATTTGATATTTAGTGTTTTTTAAAAATCACTTTCTAACTGCATTGTACTTAATTGTTTAGTCATAGATATTTTGCGTAATCTCTTCTTTAACTACTTTGTTTAAATGGTAAAAGACAATTTGAATTGTATGACAAGTAGATTGACTAAATTCAATGTCATTCACTACTAAGATGTCACTGCATTATGCTTAATTGTTTAATCATAGATATTTTATATAATCTTCTTTAATTTCTTTGTTTAAATATTAAAAGAAAACCTGAATTGTATGAAAATTATGAATGATTGAGATTTCTACTTGATTCATTATGTTGCAGAGTCATGGTATGTGTTAAATACCAACATTATTATGAGTAATGACAAGGGCGGATGTAAAGGTGAACTCTGATGGGCTGAAATCCACTTAATTTTTTTCTTTTTGACTATACTAATTTTAGCTCAGTCCAAAAATAATAATAATAATAATAGAATTAGTCCATCCAATCAAAGTTAACTAAATCACCATACTTAAAAAAAAAAAAAAAAAAAAAAAAAAAAGAAAAAGAAAAAGAAAAAGAAAAAGCCCAAATCAAATAAGCGCAGGGCCTACCCGCCTAGGGACTCAAAATTTATGGGGCGTTTAAATTTCTAGGCCCATGGATGATGGGTAACCAAAAATATATATTTTTAGGGCAAATCATTTTAGCCTCCCCAATCGCCTCCATCTCTATACTCGTTCCCGTCTCCGATCTTGCCCTCTCTCTATATCTGCAGCTGCAAAGTACAAAATCTACAAGAATCAGAAATTCAAAACCCATATATTTCAGTTTATCTATCTGTCTGCAAGAATCAAAAGCTCAAAACCTATTACGTATATCAAAACCTAGATCGGCATATCATTTCAGATTGTTTAAAAAATCTAAACCCATATCTTTCAGTTTCCATCGCCCGCTGTTCCAGTTCGGGTTCGCCGTTCGCAAGCTTCAGCCGCTGTCTCTCAACTCTCAAGCTTGCCCCCCTCTCTCTATGCTACTGCTAACTTGTATGTATGGGTTTTGTCTTAATTTTTTTTCTAAATCAACTAATTAAGGTCTGTAATTCTTGTTTTGCAAACTAAATCCTATTTGGTGAAATTTTTTATGATCTTGTTTATATAATTTTATTTATTTTTACAATATAAAGTAACAAAATTTGCATTGCATTTTGAGGTAATCACCGTAATCTACATTTTATTTCAGCAAAAGAAATATATATTTTTTATTTCTATACTTCTATTTCTGGGATTTTTTTTTTTTAATTATGTCTACAAGAAAATTTGAATCTGGGCATGAAAAAAGAAAAAAAGAATCTGAATTGGATCGGATTAGAAATCTGCAGAGATTGAATCTGAAACAATTTTAATCAACATGCCAAGCTTTTTGAAGTTGGAAATCTTTTCAGAACTAAAAAAAAAAAAATCATAGCAAGAACTTTGACAAGCAAAAGTACTCAATATAGGTAAAGCTCTAAAGTTACTTCTACTTATCACACACACACACACACAAAAAAAAAAACTCGAAAGTTACTTCTTGAAAATTAAAGTACTTACGAAAAACATGCTTGAAAATTAAAATATTTACACACACGACTCTCTTCTTTGAGTGAATTCCATAGTGTTGGAAGGGGCTTGCCATGAACTACCCCACACTCGCTTCCACTAGTAGATTCTCAAATAGGATTAGTAAATTGGTCAAAAGAAGAGATAGGGTATTGAGTGGTGAATTGTTCAGAAATAAATTGGTTTTTTTTTTTTTATATTAATTACCCAAATAGGATTTTCTATGCCTTAATCAGTAGTTAACTAAAATTGAATTAAACAATAGTTGATTTTGGTTGATATATTTTGATTTAGCCCGCCCTATTGAGAAATCCTGGATGTTTTGTTTCACAAGGAAATACAATTGGTGTAATGCACGAAAGAAATATTCAATCTTTCTGCCATATTTTTATTTTCAAATTTTGGTTTTTGATTTTCTTTTGTTATTAGAATGCAAAATATCCGGATATTCATTTGTTAATTTTGAAAATTATTCCTAAACTGATGTGTAATATGTGCTAATCACACCTATCTGTAATCACACCTCTTTCTACGGATAGGTGTCCAACATTTTGATTGAAAGCATAGTTGGGTTGGGTTGATACATGATAGAGATAGTACTTAGATGATGGTGTTTTAATTGTTATGAGTGAGATTGTGAAACCTCTTCTTCGCAACTTGAGTGTTTTCTTATTTTTAGGGTTAGCATCGGGCCCTAACATTTAGCAAGAACAGGTTCAAGAAACATGCCTCCTCAATCATCAGGTAACAAATTCATTACGTTTTCTAAAATTTTAATTGGCATTTTTAGCTATTAGTTACGTTTATTTATTCATGTTTTACATACTGATTTTTTGCTTTTGTTTTTGTTTCTACATACATATTTATAATATTGTTATGATGCGATGCTCGAACAATTTATTAATGAGAATTAAAGACTTGGAAATTTAGTTTTCAATTTCAGAATATATGTTTTACAAGTTTATTAATGCTTTTAAAACTTTTCCTCTTATGTCCTAATAATATAGGTCTCTTTTCTAAAATCTTTTCTCAAAGAAGCGAGTTGATGGGAATGGGTGGAGCTGTAAAAAAGAGGTTTGTTTTTTTTGCCTACCTAATTGAATTATATAAATCCCCTCACCGTTGTAGCAGTGATGTTGGTTTTAAAATGACCAATTATGATAGGAAGTCTCTTTTCAGTTTATCTTAATCAAATGAATATCTATGCAAGAGGATTATGTGATTCTAGATGACGATTCTAGATGAGGATGTTAATGTCAACGTTATAAGGACGTTGATGTCAACGTTGACTCTAGTGATGACGACTGATGATGTTGATAATATGTTGATGCACTCAAATTAAGTCAAAGCACTTAGAATTGGAGGAAATTTAGAGTTGAAGACATACTATTGAGCATAGTGTCTATTTCTTTTAGTTACAAGAATATTTGGTCACTTCACACGATTTTTCAAGGTCCTGAAATTCTGAAACAATGATGTGTAAATTCATCTACTTGGGCTCTCTTCTTGTTTTTGGAACTAAGAGTCCTGTGCATGAAAGTATACTATTTTTAGTGAATTAGTATAAGAAAATGGAAAACAATATTAAGAATCTATCACTTGATTTTATGTAGTTTACTTGATTTGAAAGCCCTAATTCATCTTATATGACTTGCCAAATGAAAATCATGTGAAATACATGCCACAGAGTAAAGCAACCTCACGCGTTTTTTATGATTTCTACCAGTTTCAAACCTTTTACACATTGACCACATACATTTTATGACCTTGTATGCCTCCAATCTTCTTCCATATAACTGCCTGATGATTCAGATCATTCGTCACAGCATCTTACTCAGAAACAAATGCCCCTTTGGAAAGATATTAGTTTTTTGTCTGAATATCTAGGAAAGGAAAATTCTATTATAATCTTTGAATTGCGCTTCATTTAGTGGCATTATATGTAACTCATAGTATCCATTATTTTGTGTTCAATTACTCTGATGGAAGCTGGTAAAACTTTGAAGGTTTCTTCTATTCGCTTCTATTATTTTTGTTTGGTATGAGCTTCGCTCCCTTTAGTAGTGGCAGATTCATGTTAGTCGGTTGCTGCTCAAAATACATATGTTGCAGCAACATTGGAATCCATTGATCCCATATTCGATTCTTAATTTTAGTCCGGGAATAATTTCTAACATGTCTATTTATATTATATATATATAAATAAATATTTACTATTTTGTGTGGGAGAAATGGCTCTTAGCAATGTTATGATTGGTGTTTTGTTAGAAGAGGTTTGGGCATAAGAGTCAAAAGGGGTCTTGGTAGTTGGTATCTTTAGTCTATTTACTCTCACCTTGCTTTCATGTATTTGACTTGCTACAAAAAAAATTTGATAGCCCTAATTTTTCTTGTTTAACTTGCCATAGTTATATGTAAATAATTTTGCCGACTTTGTGTCAACTTCTTGTAGTGACCATCTTTTGCTTTTGTTTTTTTATGGGCAGAAAAACAAAGGGCCAAGAAATGCATTTCTTGGAAACCACTATGTTATTGGCAATTCTGATTCATTTTCCTTCAGCTTTATTTGCTAGCAGGGCCTTTATTACTAATTCTTATGTACCTATTTCTGTCTCTCACAGTCCCACATCACTACATATATGGCTGAGATTTTACACCAGATTTAGTCCCGATCAGACTAGCATGATGGTTGAATTCGCTGAACAAATTGGGTGGAATTGCCGCAGCCAGGAAAAACAAGTCGAGGAATTTTGTATCCTTATGAAAATTGAGAAGAGGGTATTTAATTCTTGGATTTATAACAAGAAGAAAAAATATAATGGTACGTACACAACACCATATTCTCTTTCTTTGATTTTGATCTTCATAAAACGTTAACTAACACTCTTATTGACTGACAGAGTCGCCACACCTCAAGAACAATCATCCATCGAAGCGAATCAACACTAAATTAAATTTGGATCAGAGAGCAACATTGCTGAAATTCGCTGAAAAAATTGGATGGAAGATGCAAGGGAATAAGGGAGAATTTGCTAAATTTTGCAGCAAAGTGGAACTTGATAAGAGCATAATTTGGAGATGGTTATACAACCACAAGAGGGAGTATTCTGGTACTTTATTAGATTTTTGACATTGCCTTCATTAGATTTTAGAGAAGATTTTTCATTAGACACTGACTGATATACTTATTGACTGACAGGTTCGCACCCACCCCTGGAAAACAAGCTACCGCTTCGCCGAACTAAGTTTACTCCCGATCAAAAAGCTATGGTGCTGCAATTTGCAGATCAAATAGGATGGAATCTACGGGGGAAGGACACGGTCGTCACTACATTCAGCTTGCGTATGGAACGAGAGAAGAAGGTCGTCAAAAATTGGGTTTATAGCAACAAGTGCAAGTACACTGGTATATATTTTATTTTGATTTGGTTATAATTCGTTTTTTTTCCCTTTTTTTTTTAACATCTGAATAAAATAGCTCTTTGAACTTGTTTCAGAACCCCAAAATGCTCGGGAAGCAAGGCACAAAGAGGAAGACTGCCAAAAAGAAGGTATGTACAGTTACCCTTCATGGGAACTATACTTAATTAATTTTTTGTCAGAATCCAACCTGGCTTTGAAGAGAGTTCTGTTATTAGAAATTCAAGTTCAAAAAGTTTATAGACCGATTGTATACTTTGTTTCGCTCTGCGTTTGGACATCTAAGGCCTCATAACAATCAAAATTTAAGAAAATGGGGAATATTAATTTAGCAGTCATAAAGCTGTCTCCAGGAATTCAAATTCAAAAATTTAAGCACATCGCTCGAAGGCTACTAGAGGGAGTTCGATCAATCGAATTTGTCTTGGATTTGATCGAACAGACCATAATGATTTAGAGACTTACGAAAATCAATATTTTAAGTCATTTAATTCTTCTATTTCACATAGGACTTTTCTATTGGCTATAATTATGAGGTTCAAGTCAGTTTAGGGTCTAATTTTACATTACTAAAAAAATATTATATCTTTTGGAGAGAGTTTTGATAAAACAAAATAAAGGTGAGCAAGTAATAGTCTGACACCTAGTTTATAATTCTCTCTAAAGTGATTTGTTTGCGCATGGACAGAGGATCCCATGGTTTTTCCTATTCTAGGGTTTTTCACATAAAAAATGTGTGTTTATGTTTTATTTTACTTTTCATCTTTATGTGATTGTGATTGAGACAAGTGGATAACCAAATAAACAGAAAATTGGACAAGGATTAACCACCCGACCACCCCCAACCCCGCAAACCCACTCCAAACCAACCCTTCCCTTCTAGGTCTGGATTGGATTGTTCATACTCTGAAGTATTAGAGACTAGGGTGCGGTCTGTTCCTTTACTTTTGACTTGTAGCAAAGATAAAATTCTCACATTGGAAGTATGGAAAACAGAAACTATAGCATAAACTTAAATTAAAAATTAAACAAATCCGCCAATATATGAAGAAACACCTCTAAACTAAAGCACTTACAGATAGGCATTCTCCAGCATGTCCAAGGAGTATCTGTCGTGTAGATAGCATCACTTCTGCCAAGGATGCTGGTGTGGGGAGCCCTCACCGTCCAGCAGCTGAAAGTAAGGCAGCATCCGATTCTTGCCCACGGGCCAATGGCCTAGCGGTATCAGCCTCTTACTTCCTAAAGGGAGGTTAGGGGTTCAAGTCTCAGAAGAGACGTGTGTGTGAGTACCAACTAGGGAAAAAGAAAAGAAAAGCTTGCGCAGTAAAAAGTAAACCAAGCTGAAGCTTTATTGTGATAGTAAATATAGACTCCATATAGTTGGTTTGTGAAGCAAAACTATTGAAGCTTACTCTAGTATCAGCTCCTTCACTTCCAATTCCCACATTTGTTATTCCAAGGGAACCAAGAACTGCTGAAAGAACCTAGTGTGTGGAGGTGGGGGAGAGAGAAAGGGAGAGAGAAGAATAAATCAGAACCAATACACTAGTAGTTAAGCATGCATTTGAAAATTAAAACAGATTTCCTAAAAAATCATATAGCTACCCGATCAAGATCTGGAAAAACACCATGTCCTTGTTCAGATATATTGAAAGTTCCTATTACTACGCTGGGACCAGCTTGATTGCCTTCCCCAGGGCCAGTACTGGATGCTGGATCAGTAGCTGCAAAGTGATGATGCTACATGGTCAAAAAGTAGCTGTCATGGCCATGAACCACCCTCTTAATGAACATAAGATATGCACAGATCCATAAAGAATACTCAAATGTACATATTAAACCAAGTAAAAACATTTGAATTTGCCCAGCAGATCAAAAAGGGAAATATAACAATGGCAAAAGTCTTGTCTATAAATTTTGAATGCAAAACACTGGATCTTTTCCAGACCACAACAACATGATACCGCTACCTTCAATAGGGAAAACTACAAAAGAGTAACATTACTTGCCTGACTGTCCAGGAAAACTGGCTTTGAAGAGAGTTCTGTTATTAGAAATTCAAGTTCAAAAAGTTTATAGACCGATTGTATACTTCGTTTCGCTCTGCATTTGGACATCTAAGGCCTCATTACAATCAAAATTTAAGAAAATGGGGAATATTAATTTAGCAGTCATAAAGCTGTCTCCAGGAATTCAAATTCAAAAATTTAAGCACATCGCTTGAAGGCTAATAGAGGAAGTTCGATCAATCGAATTTGTCTTGGATTTGATCGAACAGACCATAAATGATTTAGAGACTTACGAAAATCAATATTTTAACTGATTTAACTCTTCTATTTCACATAGGACTTTTCTATTGGCTATAATTATGAAGTTCAAGTCAGTCTAGGGTATAATTTTACATTACTAAAAAAATATTATATCTTTTGGAGAGAGTTTTGATAATCAATCTAAAATTTCATAAAACAAAATAAAGGTGAGCAAGTAATAGTCTGACACCTAGTTTATAATTCTCTCTAAAGTGATTTGTTTGCGCATGGACAGAGGATCCCATGGTTTTTCCTATTCTAGGGTTTTTACATAAAAAATGTGTGTTTATGTTTTATTTTATTTTTCATCCTTATGTGATTGTGATTGTGATTGTGATTGAGACAGCATCCGATTCTTGCCCACCATTACCATTAGTACCAGGAGCTGCCAACTCAAAACTCAACATCTCAGTGTAAAAATAATTGTAACAGCAAAAGTCAGCAGGTACATAAAAGATCTAACAATAAATCCTGACCACGGGAACTAAAATGAGTGGGCTTTAATTTTGTTTCAGAAACAAGGAAGACTGGCAAGGAAGGGAAGAAAATAAAGTATTCCAGGAGTGAAGGTATATGCAGTTAAGCTAATCTTTTTTTCTTTTTCTTTTTTTCTGTGAAAACGAAAAAGAAAAGAGGGATTTAATTTTTTTATCAGAATCCAAAGTGGGCTTTAATTTTGTTTCAGAAACACGGAAGACTCGTAAGGTTGGGCGGCACAAGAAGTATTCCAGGAATGAAGGTATACGAAATTAAGCTTATCGTTTTTTTTTCTCTCTTTGAAAACGAAAAAGAAAAAAGTGGGATTTAATTTTGTTTCAGAAACATGGAAGAAAAAGAAGTATTCCATGAATGAAGGTGTATGTAGTTAAGCTTATCTTTTTTTCCCTGTGAAAACGAAAAAGAAAAGAGAGGGATTTAAATTTTTTTCAGAATCCAAAGTGGACTATAATTTTTTTTCTGTTTTTTTTTTTTCACATATGAAAAGAGAAGCTTTGAAGCTTTGGTTGGAGAGAATCAACACAGACGTGGCAATTTTTGGGTTGGTAGTTTTATTGGTGGACTTGGGATTCAGATTAATGGACTGGTTCAGCACAAAAAAATTAAAAAAGAGACTCTAGCCTTCGGAAATGGCAAGAGATAAAGAGGAAATGGCTGGAATAAAAGGGGAAATGGCATGAGGAAAAAAGAGAAGATTGCAAAACAATTGTGTCCTCACTCTCTAGCATAGAAAAGGTACCTTATATATTATTTAATGGTAACTTTAATTATACAGACTTTCAAACAATGATATGTATATATATATTTGTCTTGTTTAGGCTCTTTTGAGTCAAATGCCTGCTTCCAAAGGTCAAATGCCTGCTTCTAAAGATAAAAGGTCAGTTTTCTGATTTTTGGTTATCTAACTTTGTATTTTATTTTTGCACTTAAGAGTCTGTCTGCACACACAGGAGAAGGTTCCTTTAAGTTTAAACCCCAATTATCTAGGGATCATATCTAGGGGCGGAGCTAAGATTGCAAAGTAGGGAGGGCTAAAAACAATTAAACCTATGATTGCTTGTGTCATCCATGCTCTAAATATATAATAATCATGCATCAGTTATTCAATTAAACCCAATAATTTATAACCTTTTAACACATTTACATTTCCAAACTCTGACGTATTTTCACAGTCAAGAATTCATTGAAGTTTGTTTCATACAAGTATTAAAACCAACAACTACAAGAATGCAAGATATATATGTTTTTTATCAATAAATTCACATTAGAAAGTAAGACTTATGTTTTCTGCCCCTGACTAGTTATTAACCCCCCCTCTTTCCAAAAATAAAATTCAATATTTCATTGGATTCACGATAATAATTCATGATATCCATCCACCTATGCCTTAGTGCCTTATACACGAAGAGTTTAGGTCTTCTTCCATAGACTAACAATGCGTTTGATTTACTGGGTTAGGTCCTATTATATTTTATTGTGGTTTATTTTGTGATTGGACATGTCTATGATTCGTGGGGTTACTCATATTTAAGGCTTGACTTTTGTAAATTTTATTACTCTTTTTATTTATAGAAATACTATTGATTGGGCTGGGCTGGGCTGGGTTTGATAGGAAGAGGAAGAATAGTACATAGGCTTATAGGAACAATAGTATTAAATTTTTTTTTTCAATTGGACCTGGGCTATAGCCCAGGTTAGCCCATTACTGGTTCCTCCCTTGATCATGTCTCAGTCAATAAGGGGCATTGCCGAACTCCTCGATTGAAATAAAGATAAAGTCTAGGACCAGAACTAGGGCAATCAACACTTCATCATCTTTTCCTCAACCAATCCCTTCAATTCCTTTCCCCTAAGAGTCAAAGGTTCTATTCGACCTGTCAGTCTAACAGTATATCATCCTTGCCCGCCACGAATATATCATAAATTCATCACTAACAAACATTATTACAATTTTGTTTCAGTTGGGCGCACTCCCAAATGGCGCTTTCTATCAAGAGAAATGGATGTGGAATGGAGTCCCAAAGTTGGGATTGCGTTGCTCGATAAGAAGAAACGGATATGCAAAGTAGTCCTTTTGTTGGGATTTTGTTATTTGATATTTAATGTTTTTTTTTAATTCAAAAGACACCGTACATATTATGTGTGTGTACATATATATATATATTCAGACACACCCACATATATTTTATTTATTATGAATTAAAAAAGAGAGAAAAATATTGTTTTATACTTTAACCACCTCATTTATCAACTATTTTCTCCAATTTTCCTTCCATATCAATTATAGTCTATAGACAAGCATGCTTCTAGAAATATACATTAAAAATGCATAAATAAATAAAAGTAAAAACCATTACAAATATTATTGTATTTTAATTGATTTTTAAATTTAAATTTTCTATTACCTAGTTTGTACCCAAATTTTATTTTAATTTTTTTCATTAACAAAAAAAACTGCCCCTGCATTAAGACAGATCCCAGCTGACACGTGCAAACATTCATACCAGCTCCGTAACGGGCGGACCTTATAAAAGAATAACCCAAATTCTATTCCAGCACCCGTGATATATATGTATATATATATTATATTTATGATTTTTGTGATGAAAATCGAATCCAGGAGCTGTTCTTTAATAGGAATTAGTAAATAATATAGATATATCGGGGAGTATTTATGCTATATAAATGCTAAATATAGTGCCACCATAACAAGTAGTCTGGAGCTCTCAATGGCATAATCTGTCATATTACATGTTGCCTGTACAAATTATAGATAAAGCCTCAAAGTTTGAATTTTGACTTTCTGAGCCTCTGTCTTTCTCGAACTTGAACAAATGGTGAAGAGCCGAAGCTGAGAAAGCAAGTGCCAAAAAAAAGAGTGTCTATTACCAGCTCCTACGAAATAATTTAGCCGGTCTTGCTTGAAATGTTACATATGGCTTTCAGTGTGCCAAGGACTTGCACAAACAATGTCTAATAAATTAAACATAAGGAACAAAAACTGGAGAATGTAAAGGAAAAAGAACTATATATATTTTGTCTTATCTAGCACTTGCTTCACAATGTGAACTGCTGCAGCCGCCAACTGAATGTTCATAATCCAACCTCATTATACAGGTCCATACATCACTTTCAGCAAAGGCGTCGTAGCAGTGTCTTACTGGGAACATTACTGTGAGATTCTTGAGATGAATCACTCCCTCTGCAGTATAAGCAGTAGAATTTTAGTTAAAATGAAAATCCGTCGCCTGAAACAAGTATCAATATCAAGGAAGAAAGAAACCTAGTAGAATAAAAACTTCCATATAAAGTCAATTCAACCAGCACTCGGAACCATAAGCTGTTAGGGGCTGCAATTTGGAGATGCAGAATAATTTCTTTTTGGGGTTTAAAAGAAAAATATCCTGTTAAAGATACATGGGTCACATGACCAGGGACTCTTCACCATAACATGTTTTAACCTCAGATAGGTTATCAATAATGGGCCATAATAAGTCGCTTAGAGACGAACTTATTCATAGAGACCCAAGAAAGAAGCCACCACCCCGATATCCAACATGTGCAGAATGTTTCAAAGGTTGTTCCAACAAATCAAAACTGGATCTTTGAGCTACAAAACATTTTTGAATGGGAATATCCATAATCTATTCATTTATCCACCATATAATGCAAGCAAGGATTAAAGCTCAAATCACTACTAATATGACAACTTAATGAGAGCAAGACAAGCAATTTTGACATACAGATTTTAAGTCACAACCCAGAAGCCATTTCAAGACGAGCATAAACTTAACAACCAACATCCATCCTGTAAATTTTGTATGCTCAAAAATTTTAAATTTTGGTGTTTACGGTTGCTGGGATCTAAAATCTTCTTCTACCCTATTGTATAATCTACATAGTGTTCCATTCAGGTCAATAAATTTCACTATAGGGATTAGATTAAGAACTTAAAACAACTTCAAAACAGGTCCCAAAATAGTTTTCTGGAGACTGGTTCACATTGTAATTGTGCTAGGTGCCTCCATTAATTACTTACCATAGGAAAAACCACCAAGGTTTTAGCGCTCTAACGTAGCTGAGGACCTGAGAATTAATATACATAGGTATGTGCATGCATATGATATATGTACATACACACACACACACACACACACACATAAATATTAAGCAAATTACCTTTTGACGTTTTGAGATTGGTGGGGATGAAGGGTCACCCCGCCGACGTGATGAAGTTCCTATATCCAAGTTCTCCTGTGCCTGCACATACATAGAACAATACTCAGCAATAGCACCGTTTGTAGCAAGTTTTCAACTGATATCACCAGCAAAAGAATACAAGGTCTCAAGTATCATCTTCAGCATAAGAAACGTGATGGTAAACTATTCCTAATAGTATTGACGAGATGTGTGCAGTTCTAACCTCAATATCACCAGCTCCCTCTTCAGGTGCATTATTTGATCCAGTGGCTGAGCTTTGAGATATAATGGGCATGATCTGACGTAGTACATTAGACAAGAAAGTTCCTTCATCATTCAGTCTGGATGCTGCCTCCTGAGTATTTGCAGCATCTTGAGTCATTCCCCCAACCCCTCTAGCAGATACCGCATCCATCCCCTGAAAATTGTTACTACCAACATCCATATGCTCACCAGGAAATATAGTACTCAGAAACTGATCAAGTCCACTGTGAAACTGTGTGGAAAAGCCCTCAACGTTTTGCGTCCCACCGCCTGAATAAGTGATGCCCACAAAATGAAACACAGTCATATATGTGAACTAGCACAAAGTAGATGTTGGTGAATGCGGATACTTTCTTTTCTCTTTACCTTCTCTTTTATTATAAATACAAATGAATTATATGCAAAACCCGTAAATTTATGACTGAATAACAAGTATAAAGCTAATGAACTAGTCTATTTACACAAACATGCACACATGTAAACACAGTAAAACAGGCATTAATAACTCAAAGCCTCAAGAGCAGAACACGCAACACAAAAACACATTGGAGCCTGAATTGTGAACCCTACAATGTGTCCCTGAATTTGTTCAAATGCCTTGCACTTATCGAATATAGCAAAGACTACAAGTGTAACTTGAAAAATAACAAAAAATTTATGTCTCGCGTTAAAGCCAGCTGTTTAATTAAGCCAATAGCAACTGATACTAAACATACTTCTGAATAATGTGCATCAACCTGCCTACTCACTTGTGACAAAAAGGAAAATACAATGGGCGAGACAACAACAACAACAACAACAAACAAAAAATAAAATAAAGGCCAAAAATGAAAAAACAACTTAGTAAAACTGTCGTTCACCACTCTACAAACCAAGAGACAAAAGACTGCCTTTGTTTCAACCATTAATACAGGTTCTTCAACGTTATGTCTGTAGATATCAAACAAAAAATATCGAAAAACCATTCCCTACACATTCTTGAAACAGAAAACATTGGACTTTTTTAAGTGATAAGATTGGTGTTGGACCTGAGGACAGCGGACAAATGTTGAGTTGACTGTTCAACGCATCAACTATCATATGGAGAAAACAACAGATTAAAAATCTGATCATCCACAAATATCATATAAGTTACTTTTGCTATGACCCTGTTCCACATCAACCAGTTTTAACCCAGACAGAGGCATGGAACTAATGGGTGATCTAAATGAAAATATTAAATTAGTCAACCTATTTAAGAACAAAGCCCTTCAACAGTGGGAAGTCAACAATTAATCAGTGGATCTGATAGTTTGTAGTAATACATACCGCCCGCCAAATTTCTCCACCAAAAGAAATTCTAAGTACCGATTACAATGACATATAAGACAAACAGAGCAGGGAATCAATGTAATTGTAAACTTACCATCCATTCTAGGCAATCCACTCTGTTGTTGTCCTGCAGAATCAGGAATTGGCAGATGCCCAGACTGATGTTCATTAGACGCTTGAGGACCTCTAGCACCACCAGAGTGATGTTCATTAGACGCTTGAGGACCTCTAGCACTATTTAAATTTGCAGTAGTTACATGTTGAACATTTGCTAGAATCGGATATAATAACCCCACAGAGCCACGAGATAAATCAGAAGGTGAGGGTCTGACAGCAGCAGGAATTGCTGCAACCAAAGTCCTTCTTATGGGAACTACCCGTACTTCAGACTCCCTGGTGGATGATGGACTTCCAGAAGCTCCAGTGGAAGCTAGACGAACAGAATTTCCACCACCAGAAGTTGCTTGGTTGCTTTGCCCTGGAGATGGCTGTGCGCCACTCTGTTCCATTTGGCTAACAGCGGCTGAGGGCATTAATGAACCTAATGGTAAAATTGTCATCGATATGTTTAACATCAAAAACTTAGAAACTCACTCACAAAATAACCAGGAATGAGCAAAGGTAAAATCTAAAACTTTAGACTACATTACGTACTGCACCTGTACGTATTCTGATATCAATATTCCTTGAAAGAAGACCAGAACCTAGAGATCCACCAGAAAATCCAGAGCCAGATTGTACATTTCCCACAGGAATTGCCCCAAAGCTTGTTCCCGGTTGAAAAGGAAGTGGCTGCTCATAATCCAAATTGGAGTGATGGAAAAAAATAAATACAGAAAAGATGTAAAGATCTGTCTGCAAAGAAAAAACAATTTTCATTAATATTAAGCATTTTACCTGAACCATTATGGGGTTGGGACCAGATGTGGATATAAAGACAGCAGGTCCAGCGTTAACCACAGCATCAACCTATGGAAGGAGATTAATCATAGTCCTATCAAAAAGTACCAACTAAAATTTTCAATCATTTGAACATGTGCCCTTCCAGACCACAAACGCACACCGTTAAAACACAAGCACATGCAGAGTCACAAGTAAGCAGTGCAGTACTGAAATCACACATATGAAATAGTGAGCTTCCAGACCACAAATGCACACCGTTAAAACACAAGCATATGCAGAGTCAACAGTAAGCTGAAATCACACATATGAAATAGTGAGCACAAATAAACACACCGGTGTTTGGCCCATCCGCAATGTCATGGTTGTGCGACCAAGCTCAAGAAGCAAAGCACCTAAATTTTGCAAAAGAACACCTGTTCTTGCAGCATTGGATTGAATGTTCATTCGTGCAATCGGATCAGTCACATTTGTATGTTCCTCCAGTTGTCTCGTAAGTTGCTGCAAAAGTTAAAGATAACAATGTCAAAAGTCTTGTCTATAAATTTTGAACGCAAAAAAACACTGGATCTTTTTCCAGACCATGGCAACATGATACCGCTACCTTCAATAGGGGAAACTGCAAAAGAGAATCATTACTTGCCTGACTGTCCAGGGAAAACTGGCTTTGAAGAGAGTTCTGTCATTAGAAATTCAAGTTCAAAAAGTTTATAGACCGACTGTATACTTTGTTTAGCTCTGTGTTTGGACATCTAAGGCCTCATTACAATCAAAATTTAAGAAAATGGGGAATATTAATTTAGCAGTCATAAATCTGTCTCCAGAAATTCAAGTTCAAAAATTTAAGCACATCGTTTGAATGCTACAAGAGGGAGTTCAATCGATCGAATTTGTCTTGGATTTGATCGAACAGACCATAAATGATTTAGAAACTTACGAAAATCAATATTTTAACTGATTTAACTCTCCTATTTCACATAGGACTTTTCTATTGGCTATAATTATGAGGTTCAAGTTAGTCTAGGGTGTAATTTTACATTACTAAAAAAAAAATTATTTCTTTTGGAGAGCATTTTGAGAATCAATCTAAAATTTCATAAAACAAAATACTCTGTGGTTGAGTAAATCAAAGCAAGTAAAATATCAGAGACTATTATCAAGCAACGATTTGTAAAGATCAAGAAAGTAACAATCATGGAGAGAAGACTAGTGAATGAGCAAGTTTGTTGATTGTCATAAGCAGAACCTGAAGAGGAACATCTGGCGTAACTATAGATCAAAGGTGAGCAAGTCATAGTCTGACACCTAGTTATAATTCTCTCTAAAGTGATTTGTTTACGCGTGGACAGAGGATCCCATGGTTTTTCCTATTCTAGGGTTTTTCACATAAAAATGTGTTTCTGTTTTATTTTTCCTCTTTATGTGATTGTGATTGAGACAAGTGGATAACCAAATAAACAGAAAATTGGACAAGGATTAACCCCCCGAATTCCCCCCCACCCACACCACCCAAAACCAACCTCTTGCGGCCTGTTTCTTTACGTTTGACTTGTAGCAAAGGTAAAATTCTCACATTGGAAGTATGGAAAACAGAAACTATAGCATAAACTGAAATTAAAAATTAAAACACATCCACCAATATGAAGAAACACCTCTAAACTAAAGCACTTACAGATAGGCATTCTCCAGCTTGTTCAAGGAGTATCTGTCTTGTAGATAGCATCACTTCTGCCAAGGATGCTGGTGTAGGGAGCCCTCCCCGTCCAGTAGCTGAAAGCAAGCCAGCATCCGACTCTTGCCCACCATTACCATTAGTACCAGGAGCATGAGAACTCTGGCCTCTGACTGCCAACTCAAAACTTAACATCTCAGTGTAAAAGTAATCATAACAGCAAAAGTCAGCAGACTACATAAAAGATCTAACAATAAATCCTGACCACTGGAACTAAATTCATGCTTCATCCTACGCAAATACTGGGACAAAGTTGTCAAAGAATCAGGAATCACCTGCGTATATCAGGATAAGCAAGTTATATTTCTCGATGCCACAAAAGAAAAAGAAAAAAAGAGAAAAGGAAATTAAAAAGAAAGATGAATAAAACAAAACGGTTCCTCCACTAGAAAATACTTAACCGAGAATTGGAAATATGAAGAAAAGTCATTACAAAAAAGGAGGATAATAAAGTTGCATTAGGAAAATGAGACACCCTAAACTCACTGGTGGTTGTAGATGTCCCAAAGGAACAGCAGTTCCAAGAGTAGAAGCACCATCATGTGGATTAGATTGACCCATTGTAGCAGCCAAATCAGGTTGCTGTCTACTGGAATTTCCCAAGCCACCAAGACCAGATGTTCTTGAAAGCCTTTCTGGTGCAGGTTCCTGGCAATTAAAATCAAATGAACAAAAAGCGAACTTAAACAACAACACATCATCTACACAATTATGAACATAATCAATTCACACTGCACAACCATGCCAATTTCATGACCTTAATTTTACTCATTTAATATGTCATTTTCAATAAAATAGTCTAATAGATAAATATACATACAGAGAGAGAGAGAGAGAAAACTTCATACTTAAATATATATATATATATAGAGAGAGAGAGAGAGAGAGAAGAAAAGCATGCACAGTAAAAAGTAAACCAAGCTGAAGCTTTATTGTGATAGTAAAAATAGACTTCATATACTTGGTTCGTGAAGCAAAACTATTGAAGCTTACTCTAGTATCAGCTCCTTCACTGCCAATTCCAACATTTGTTATTCCAAGGGAACCAAGAACTGCTGAAAGAACCTAGCGTGTGGAGGTGGGGGAGAGAGAGAGGGAGAGAGAAGAATAAATCAGAACCAATATACTAGTAGTTAAGCATGCATTTGAAAATTAGAACAGAATTCCTAGAAAATCATATAGTTACCCGATCAAGATCTGGAAAAACACCATCTCCTTGTTCAGATATATTGAAAGTTCCTACTACTACGCTGGGACCAGCTTGATTGCCTTCACCAGGACCAGTACTGGATGCTGGATCAGTAGCTGCAAAGTGATGATGCTACATGGTCAAAAACTAGCTGTCATGGCCATGAACCACTCTCTTAATGAACACAAGATATGCACAGATCTATAAAGAATACTCAAATGTATATATTAAACCACGTAAAAGCATTTGAACTTGCCCAGCAAATCAAAAAAGGATGCAATGTGTGGAACATAAGAAGAAAATTCGACAGATGTTAACTCTGAATGACAACTAAAAAAATTCATATCCAGATCCGTTGTCAAGTTTATTTTTACATTTTCAGTCTTCTTCAAATAATTAATGCAGTTGGATCTCATAGTTCGCAATCAATAAGTTGCAACTCCCATTTTGAGATATCCGTAACAACTAGTGGCAATGAGGTTCGATCCTTGGAGACTGCACAGAGGGAGCTTGAAGCACCTGCAGATTGTTGTACAGAAGATGACAGGGTGGCTGCTAATTCACTGATGCCCACTTCCAAAGTGCTGGATACCATAGGAACTTCTCCATCGACTCTTGGCTTATCTACTTCTTCTCATGGTGATAAGACTGCAATTTTGGATGTCTCTTCAAGTAGAAGTGATAGCATGGGTAGGGAAGAAGCAGTTGCAGAACCTGGTTTGTTAGATCAGGAGTTGACACCTATTTTGACTCCATCTTCTTCAGAAGTAACGGTGAAAGATGAAGAAGGAATTCAGAATATTGGTTCTGGATCGCTTTCTGTATCGGCATCTGGTTCTAAGGACAAACCTGTACTAGAACTTAATAGGACAAAAAGTACTGTGGCTAGAGGGAAAAAAAAGACAGCATATAGGTGGTCTACTACATTAAGAATCTCTATTGCCGAAAATTCGACAGATGTTACTCATGACCAGGAACAACGCTCACTCTGAATGACAACTAAAAAAATTCAAATCCAGATCAGTTGTCGAGTTTATTTTTACATTTTTTGTCTTCTTCAAACAATTAATGCAGCTGGATCTCATAGTTCGCAATCAATAACTTGCAACTCCAATTTTGAGATATCCACCACAGAGCCCGGTTGACATAACCTATCCTACATGATGAGTTGTCTGACCTCCAAGAACTGATCTTAAAGTAGATTTCAGCATACGGCAAATCTCTGAGTAACATGGATATTTTTTTTTTTCCCCTTTAACAGTTAGTATGGATATAATTTAGCTAGACCAAAGTCTGTCAGTTACTTAAACAATGAAATACATATAAAAAAAAATGGTTAAATGCAGTACAAACTTGAGTACAGCAATTTCTTTGCTTATAATCTCTTTCAGAATAGGTCCTTCTAAGTTCAAATGGGATGTGTCCAAATGGCCCAAACAGAGAGGACCTGTTCTGTTAGATATCATCATGGTACAAAGAAATTTCTGTACAAAGAAAAAAATACAGTTTCTTTTTTTTTTTTGTTCGACGATTGTGGTGTTGGGCCTCTTAGAGCACCCCATAATGCACAACCGGGCACAAGCTTCCACACCCCCCCCACCCCCCCACCCAAAATCCCACACGCACCGGGCAATTATCGGGTAAATTCCCTGGGGTTGGGCCCAAGAGGAGTAACATAAGATCTCCAATCCTTCCTACACTTTGGTTAAGTTCAGAGATTGAAAGAAGGTTTTGTCTTCTTTCCGGATTTGGCATTGATTAAAGGGTACTCCCAGTTAAAAGGTAGAGAGAGGGGAACTCTTGCAAAGGACGTCATAAGATCTCGCTACAGAAAGTGGCAAGGATCCCCTAAAGACAAGTCATCTTGCTTTCTTGTTTCCTCCAAGTCTGAAGGCTGAAGATTGGACTGCTTGCTGGCTGGGAGCTGTATGAAAAGCAGCGTCCACGTACAGCTCCGTCAGAAGGGCGGTGGACAATCACTTTTTGAGGCTCTTGCTTAGGGAGGTATCGGCTTTTTATTAAGATATTTTAGTTATGACAAGTTTAGGTAGCTAGAAAACCAAGTCTCGCTTGCTAAGTTGAGCAACTAAAAAGATCAAAGCAATATTTCAAAGTAACACACCAAGAGTTTTGTAGAGATGTCAAAGTGAAAATGGCAAAATTACAATCCAAAAACCCCTTATGTGGCAATGCACCCATTTCTCTTCACCTGACCATAACAAACTTAAAAACAACTATACTATGCACCACTTGATCAAGGAGCCAGAGTCAATGGCTTCTACATCTAGGTAAATGAGTCCTACAACTCAGTGCATGGCTGATCGTCATAATCCATTGGGAGAAAGTCATGAACGAAAGCCTTTAAAATCATACGAGTTACTTGGTTCGGTAGCTGAAGTCTAAGGTTCATCGAAGTAACCTCTCCTGGAGATCCACATTGACCCAACTTAAAGAGGGAGCAAAACCACTTTGACTATCAAGCAACAAATGCTTGACTTGATACCAATATATCATTAAAAGGTCTTACCATTTGGCATTGGTCTATCATACCAAAAATTTCCTTGGCTACATTAGATAATTATCTTTTTACCATTACAATGACAATCCATAGTTGTTCTTGTCATATCTTATCATTTCCCTACCTTTTCATTGTCATACCTTTACTTTGTTAATATCAAGTGCCTTTTACTACATGCTTTTGTTTCTTCCATCCATATTAAATAAATGTGTCGTGACTAGATGTATTCCCTCAAATCAACCTGATGTTTGCCAACACTCATCCACGGACTATAAGAAAGCCTTTATCATGCATTGAGAGAGAAGACCAGAAGGGCGACCCAGAGAAGAGAACCACCCCACCATGATCTTTAGAATGTCTCTCTCACCATAACCTGTGGAATCCCTCTTACCTTGACCTTTTACATTCCTTCAAAGTCGTGACCTCTAGAATCCTTCTTGCCACTTACACATTAACCTCTGAAGTCCCACTTACCTTGAAAACAAGATTCAATTGCCACCTAACCTCGAGGTTACACCTCAACTTCACCTCGGATCTCACCTCACTTGACCTATAGATTCCTTTAAAATCTCTTTTCAGTTTAACTTCAAGATTCCACCTCATTTGCACCTCAAGATCACCCAAACCTCTAGTCTCCACCCACTGCTCTAGATTTAGATGAGATCCATACACATTGATTTATGGGGTCCTTGGTCAAGACCTTTGCCTCACACAATCTCTAGTAGCTTTTACACTGCCAACCTCCCTCACACAAATCAGCCTCCACCTAATCCAATCTACTTGGGACCTCTTCTATGTCGACAGTAATGCTTCCATTTCATAATCATCACAAATCACCATGAACAAAAAACGAAATAGAAGCCTATAGGAGCAGAACAAAGCATTGATATTGTTTAAATTACAAATACAGGTGAAGCTGATAAGTATACTGAAAGACAGCAAACCTGAATGATTAGGCAAGCTCTCTGATGATAAGGGAATTGGTTGTCTCACAACCAGGTGCAAAGTATGACCATCTTCAACATCTAAATGTTAAATTCAGTAAGAAATCCAATGTCCAAACAAATCAAGGAAATTATGCAAAAGGTAAGCATCAGACAAGATTCAAGTACCATCTCTGCTGTATATAAATTCATCAGCTCAACCTTTTCATTCAAACAGACACACCCTGTGGTCTCTACATTTCTAAAAAACAAATGAATGGAGATGCAATTTTGATATATATAACACTTATGCTATATAGAGCTTTCAAAGTACATGCTGCATTCAATTAATCACAATCAAATATTGGAAATCCTTATTGATTGTGATCCTCCAAACACAAAGAGTCCATTGAAAGAAACAACATATTACAAGTCATTACAACTCACCGATACAACTCCTTTTTTCAGGACCATTTAGGACATAATATAATTCATAACAGCTTCAAATTTCTCATCAACAATCTGTTCATATTCTTCCTTTTCATATTGCCACCACAGAAACTTCACTTTGACAGCATCCATAGAAGTATGTTCAATAAATATATCCATGACATTTATTATTACAGCATTTTACTTTCCGAAAGTTTCTTTTATGTTTTCATATGTCAACTCTTGAAACTCACAAACCAGAAATTTTCTTTCAAATGCATTGAGTCAGTAGAAGAAAATTAAAAAATTAGAAACTAAAACCGCAAGTCATTTCAAGTCAGCAAGTATTGAAATCAAAAAAACAAATATATAAAAGATATTTTAACTCATCAAAATCTTCTTCTGACCTTTCGTTAATGTTATATCATTGTTCTGAATATCAAATTTAATATATGTGAAAATTTATTTGTCGCTTCCTAATAACAAAGCATAGCATACAGCTCATAACACTGATTTTCATCCACATCATGGTAGGTCAGCATGCATAGCCATCAATGTAATGGGCCATCACAAGGAGATATTAGTTTCCTACGCTCACCTTGGATGACAACCCTTAAGTTAATCAACTCTAAGTAACAGATCCCTTCTCTTATACATACATGACCAGCCCTGCTGTGTAGATATTGTCTGTTTTGCACACTTTTCAAGTTCACAACTTTAAAAATGTGTCTATAGAACAGCGGCCAGTGGGCTAGCGGTATCAGGCCCCTACTTCCCAAAGGAAGGTCAAGGGTACGAGCCTCGGTGGAGGCATGTGTGTGTCAGTACCAACTACAGAAAAAAAAAAAAAAAAAAAAAAAAAACGTGTCAATAGAGTTAGGATGCATCCACACATATAAGTGTGAACAACCTCTCCCCACCAGGCGATGTGAGACATCACAATCACCCTGATGGAGAACCGACATGACCTCTCCCGCAAGACAATGCGGGACATCACAATAAAGCTTTCAATAAGTAACTAAACCAAACAGATTCAACATTGTACATTTGAAGTGTCGTAAAACAAATAATGAAGAACATCAGATAGATGCAGCCAACAATAAGAAGATAAGCATACTTAGCAAAAATCAATCATCCCTAGTCTTTAAAAGAAAAAGATTCATCTTAAGCGCCAAAAAGTGAATTAAACAGCAGGATACGGTATGCGGAAAGGAGCTGATCATCCTTCAGAACTTTTCCACGGCATATTAGGCGCTGTTGCTCAGACAAAACACCAGTAACTGTAGCAATTTGTTCCTTCAATGCTGGAACAGGCACCTGCAGGGCATTCACAAATGGGAAAAGGGAAAAAAAATTAAAATAAGATAAAATAAAAATCCGAGAAATAAAACTTTACAGACAACATGAAGTATGGGAATCATAAAATAGTCTCACGTCTTCCAGTAAGATTTTGACCAAAATCTGCAAGACTGCAACTAACAGATATTGATTATTCTAATGCTATTTGCATAAGGCCATGTATATAAGCATAAATGTTTGTGTATGCTGGACACGCATGCGCATATAAACACGCACAACAGACTTATCAAAAAAAAAAAAAAAAACACACACACACACAACAGAAAGGGAACAGATGTTTTCACAACTGAATTCTAACTTATGTTCTTTTTTCTCTGTGAAACAAATTTCAGTTTTTTTTTTTTTTTTTCCCAAAGGAGGTAAAGGAACACTTCCAGTGTCCTTGAAGGCCACAGAGTGCAAGTGTAATCTTACTTCTTTGTGTAGAAATAATCATATATAAAGAAAGTCAACAAATTAAAAAAGAATTGGATAGAAGGAAAAAAAAAACTGTCATATCCTGTATGAACATTAAAATTCAATACAACTTTAATATAATTCAGCTAGACAATGTAGGCAAAGGATCCTTAGTTAGAAAATAATGGACAATAATATGGTGTTTACACATTTATCCACTCGCAAAGTGTAAGTTTGAGAATCCAATGTTTTAATCTTTATCTCAACTGTGGCCTCAGTGCTCCCAGAAACCATAACTTCATCACCACCATTACTTCCCATTTTCTTTATAATTCCGCTTGATGCCTGAAATAATTTCAACACTATCAGTTAGCATTCTAAACAATTCAACAAGAAACCTGGAGATTAGGAATACCACAACAGAAAAAATATTAACAATAATGATAGATATAATTATATGATATATTATTAAGCTTAAAAAGGCCAAAAGGATACATTCCATGACAAAGTCAAATAAATTTTTAGATTATTCCTCCTGAACAACAAGTACACAGATGACTTCTTATTCAAGAAACTGTGAAACACGGACATGGACTTCGCAAGGATACGGCAATAATAAATAAGATAATAAATATTATATTATAGACACATAAAATATTGATTTCTGCTCATTTATTCCACAATACCGGGAAATTAATCATTAATTTGGTCATTCAATAATTACATGCCACAAGAAATTCATTTCATCATTTAAGCAATCAAGCACTAAACCTTACAAACTAAAAATAGAGAAACCTCCATCAAGTTCATCCTTCGTCATTGATCAAGCAATATGTATAACCACAAGTTCAATAATGAAACAACCACAGAAAGGAAAGCAACAAAGAAGATAGCGATGAGGACCGAGAGGGTGGTTGGTTAAGGTGAACAGTGGTGGAGGTGGCAAGTATTAATAGTGATAGGTGAATGTGAAGTGTGATCAGTGGTGGTGAAATAGCAACTAATGGTGGCAAAAATGGGTGATATGTTGGTGGTGGTAATGGTGATGAGGATCTGCAATCGGTGGGTGAGGAAGGTGAATGGGTGCGGATAGAGATGTGAAAAAAATATACCAGGTTGTGGAGGGGCTTCCACACCCACCCACCCACCCCCCACACACCCCCCCCCCCCCCCCCCCCCCCCCTCTCTTTCTCCTCCTTCTCACCTTGTTCAGCAATTGGTGGTGAAGGAGCACATGAGAATTGGTGGTGGTGCTTAAGGCAGATTCTGTCTAGGACTTTGGCAGATGATAGTGATTTAGGGCTTAGGGCTTAGGGCTTAGGGTAGTGCTATTCGTTTTGTTTTCCAAATTTTGGATTATCATTTATTAAGCCATATACTTTCCAGAATTACATGGGATCCTTGCTTTTCAAAAGAATAATTAAATAACTGTTTGTCGTGTCCCTAATGATCCTTAACGTGTCTCAACAATGCCCAAGAAAAAAAAGAAAGAGAAAAAGAAATTCATTGAAACACCAAGACACTCTGCAGTGGAATCAGACAAATGTCCAGCTGTGTCCCACGTGTTAGTGTCGGACGTGTCCAATAGCACCACATCACTCCCAAGAGGAGTGTTTATGCAGTCAAGCTTCACAGACAATTAATTTGTAAAAGCCAATTTCAACCGCATGAATGAGACCAACAATGAAAATGCCCATTAAATTAATCTTATGAAAATTCTAAAGTCTGGCATTCAATTGAAAATTTGAATACAACAAAACCAATGCTCCGTTTGGTTGGAGAAGACATCTTCCCTTCCCTAGGGATGCCTCATCCATCCATCCTTCCCCCCTCTTTCATTGGTTGAATGGAAGAAATAGTACATACGATGGATGGGGTGACACTTTTTTTTGTTTGGCTGGAAGGAAGGGAAGTAGTGTTTTATAATTTTTTACCAATATACCCTCATTATATGTGAGAGAACTTCAGTAGGGTTTAACAAGTGATTTTGTAAATAATTGAAGATTAAAATTGGTATTACATATTTGTAGGGTAGTTATTCTTTCTTTCCCTCCTCTTCTGCCTCACTTTGGACAGATAAAAAAGCATAGGGTAGGAGGGATGAAGCATCCCTCCTTGCTTCCTCCCTCCCTTCACTTCCTTCCAACAAAACAAGGGAAGCTTCTTCTATCCTTCCCCAATCTTTCCTTCCAACCAAACATATCATAAGAGAGGAACTTAAATGCATAATAAGTCAAAAGGCATTAATATCTATTTTTTATTATCATACAACCATAAATGTTATGCCTTAGTGTACACCCTTGAAAAACAACTAATGAACCACATCCATATGATCAACTGCTTCCAACACCTCTAAACATGGACCTTTCTCACAGTTTTTTATATTTTAATGAGGATAAAACATTCCAAGGACTGAAAAATATTACAAGTGTCGTAAAAGGAAGAAAGGAAACACACCTAAATGATAACGAAAATGAAAATTTTAAGACGGTGAGCAGCCTTCAAAAACTAATCTAAACTCGGAGATTACCAATGTACAACTAGGTTGAGTACTCTTTTCTAAACCACAATCTGATGAAGATAAACAGAATGGAAACAGCATGGGAAACAGGACACACTGCATAAAAAAATAATAAAAATAAAAATAATAAAACTTCTAATTCATGATTACGTTTTAAGTTCCTAGCCAAAATAAGTGATGTTCCAATCAAGAACAGTTGGAAGAAAAAAAAAAAATTTGAATAAATTCTGCCAAATATAAAGGTGGATTCTTCAACAGATTGTAGATGTTATTTTTGGGAATTGTGATAGTTATCCGAGTAAATTCCTTTATAATTCATAAAACAAAGTTTTGAAAGGCGACGGCCTAAAAGAGAAACATTTGAACAGAAGCATACAGAACGCAAAGCTATTACAAACTGCAAGCGAACCCAGATTTTCTCTCTCAATCAATAACCTAACCTTATAGAGTGCAATTAAGAAATCTTTAGGTGAACTACAAGAACAATAATACTTAACCAAAATAAAACTACAAGAGCAATAATGTTTGAAAGCCCAAGCTTATACAAGGATGCGAAAAGAAGTAAAAAAATATTTCATCATGCACATAGAAATCTAATTTGGTTAAGACATGCCATGCATCGTGTTTGAGAATCACAAGAAGTGTGAGCTTCAGGGATTTGAGATTGGTGCTAGCCAAAGCCATTCCCAGAGACTGCTAACCTCCAAGAGAAAAACAAGGTCATTTAACAGATAGAAAAACCAAAATATCAATGACTCGTACTGATTAAAAGGAAATATCAGAGGATTTATGTACATACTTGTTACCCGTGGTCTCTATTAACTGTACTTTCTAATGAAAGGAAAGGCAGATTGTCTTAGTGGCTTTGGGTCTCAAATTTCAAGCCATAGGTCAAGGTTTCAAGACAGGTTGAGATAAGAAAGAAAAAGAAAATTGCATACTGAAAAGCCAATCAATGCACTTCCTTGAGCTCATTTATAGATGTACAAACGCGGGTAACAAATCCTTGCCTCACTCTGTTTCTCTACAGATTTACTTGGCAAAATACCATCCTCCAATACCAAACACAACGAGAATAGTGGCAATGACCCATTGGAAGCCACCAATAAGTGGCATCAGTAACCAGTAGGCCCTTTTGCATAAGAGTACATGACAACCTCATATCACCCAAATAAAAGCCGCCTTAGAAAATAATGAAACAAACAGGGTAAGGAAACAATAAAACATGGCAGGTAACAAATAAATATTAATAATTCACTGTAGCCCCAAAGTTCTGTCTAAGTATGGAACCCTCAGAGTTAAAACACCAAATTTCAACCACATTAACAGTAAAACACTGTAAATTAACAAAATCAATAGAGTCCAGTTAACTAAGCATTCATAACTCCGAATGATCCCAGATGACTAAGCATTCGGAAATTCAAAATAAAAGACTCAATTTTCAAATTATTGAACACTGAACTTAATATAACCCACCAATCCAAAATGGGTGAACATTCTTATGTTAAAATTTTGCAAACTCGATCTAACCTCTGTAGAACATAGCACTGAACAAAACCAATATATTCGGACTTTTACTAAATACATACAAACACTGTAACAAAAAATAATAAAAACTGAGTCTTGAATCCTATCGTCAGCTGATTGACAAAAGCATGATAAGTTTCAAAAACCCTTGCACTTGTGAGCGACCATAAAAATACAATCTTTTTGGGCATCAATGGATGAACAAAATAATCTCTTCGTTTTTTAGTGTATGCTGAATCAGAAACAGGATTGACTAACCCTAGAATTGTATACAAAAAGGACATGCAATGAATGAACACTCGAAAAGAAAACATCGAGACAACAACAGAATCAATGATCTACGAGAATGGGAGGAAAAGGTACCTGAAAGACTTGATCGAGAACGCTTTAGGACGACAATATATTGAGCAAAAGAAGAACTCTGAAAGCTGATTTATCTCCCTCCCCTTCTCTAAATACTAACATATTTTATTCTATATATGATTTAAAAAATTTTAAAAATTTGAGTCCAATAAGGACTCTTAATAGATAAAATATTTTCTCCCTCCCTAAAAAAGGTTTATATATTCATAATTGTAAATAGAGTAATGCTTCCTAATCATTAGGTTGAGATTTTTTTTTTTTTTAAGATGGATAAAAGGTCAAATAAAATTACTTAATAAATATTTTAATTCATTACCATTGAAAACATTACTTTTGTCAAATTAGTCAAAAATAAGAAGTGGTAAGCAAATTTATTGAGACAAGTCTAACGAGAATAAAAGTAAGTGTCAGGTGTAAAAGTGAAAGTACAAAAACTCTAAAATTTAAAATTTGACCAAAGGGCATGTATATTTATATATTATTGTGTATTTCAAAAAAAACATATCAATATTTGTGTATATGTTAAAGTCCAATCTATAATTTTAAGATAGTATTTTAATTTAAAATTTGAAAAACAAGTTTACTTACCTTTGAACTTTGACGTGGATTGGAATTATGATTCTATTATTGGACATTGAGATCGTGACATAATATGTATTTCCTATATTTATACTATATCACATCTATGAAAACAATTTGGCACCATCAATAAAATATATGCATGTTAAATCGAAATTCACATTCTATTTAAAATTAAGAGTTGGTATATTATGAAAATTCTTATTCTACTAAAATCTGAATTTTAAACATTTTTACAAAAAGAATCACATCCAAAACCTCTTCTACTTACTGTATTAATGTCAATTAAATTTATAATTTTATATATTTCTTTTGAATTTATAATTTCAATTATATTTAATAAGAACAAAAGATTTTTTCAAAATGATATTGATTGTAAAATACATAAATCAAATTAGTTTATGAATTGTCTCAATCTTACTCATGTGGTGTGGCTACATGTATTATTATTTCTTTATATTATGTAATTATTATTATTATTATTATTATTATTATTATTTTGAAAAGAAAAAGTAAATTTGTTTTTTAAAAATAAAAAATAAAAAAGATAGAGGTTAAATATGCATCAAGTGTAGTAAATGAAAAAGCCCAAAAAGGGTAATGTCCAGATTATGGGCCGACAGAGTTACAAAACATTAGAGAATGTCAATGGTAAGGCCCAGGCCCAAACTGTAGAGCATCCCAACTAGTTACAATTCAAATCTGCTCTCTGACTAAAGTGGTCTCAATTCGGGCAACGAGTTACAGATTAACATTGCAAAGCATTGAGTTTGCTTTTCGTTTGTTCGAGTATAAAAAAATATTTTATATATTTTGTGGTGTTTGTTTGTCCTAAAATATTTAGGAAAAAAATATATATATTAAAACTCTACAAAAATAACTTAGGGAAAATTACACTTGTATAGAGTTAGGAGCCTTAAATAATAAAATGGTCTATTTTAAAAGTTCATTTTTCACTTTGGTTTAATTAAGTAAAATAATTATATATGCATCGATAACTATTGTTTAAGTCCAAAATGCCCTCAAAATACTTATTCCAATATACGAAAAAAAATTATTCACCTAAAATATTATACAAGTACTTTCTTTAAATAATTTTTTTCCTTTAACTTTAAACATATTGCTGCAACTTTTATATATACACACGCGATAATTTATACAAATAATAAAAAAGATTTAATATAATAAAAAAGAGAAAATCAAAGGTTAATATATAAATCGTCCTTGTTGTGGTGTATGCCTTGATCATCAATTTTTTGACTCAATTAATTACACTTATTTTATAAAAAAATAAAATAAAAATGATTGCTGGTGTATCATTTACTGAAGCAACCATTTAGTTTTTTCATGATCTCCCCCTCTCGCCATTTAGTTTTTTCATGATCTCCCTCTCTCGTACGTGTGTATTGTATGTATGTGTGTGTGTATATATATTCAATGAAAAGTTTTCATATTTGTAGGTTTATATTGGTATAAATTAGACGATATGGTTAAAGTTATGTGCAAATAAAATTTATATATATACATATATGTAATTTCCACTTACTGAAAAAAAAAAATTATATACATAATGAATTTCTACTAAATTATTTCTATATTTCTAAATTGATATTTGCAGGTTTGAGCCGATATGGATTAGGAGATATTGTTAAAGTTTTTTTTGCACAAAATTTATCTAATATATATATATATATGTGTTGTTTTTTTTATTTTTTTTTATTTTGGTAATATATACACCATATGCAGAAATGTCAAGTTGAAAGTCAACTCATAAATTTTATTTTTATAAATTATATGAATGAAATAATTATTTGATTTAGGAAGGATGTCTTGAAATAAGAGTTTGGAGGATATTTTGGATCTACATAATAATTTTTAATGCATGTACAATTATTTTACCTAACTCGACTAAACTGAAAAATTAACTTTAAAAATAAACTAATTTGTCATTTAAGACTCCTAAATCTATTTAAGTGTAGTTTTCCCTATAACTGATTCATCAATTTTCAGTAAGCTATTTTACACGTCTCAATGGATCAATTTGACTTCAGTCTCAATTTCAACCTAAATCTTTGTCAAACATCGAAAAAAAATAAAAAATATATTTATAGCCGTACAATTAGACTAATTCCCTTTCCAATGATGAGACTGGTTCCATGCCATTTTATTGAGAATTGATGAAAATTTCATTGCAAACCAGCAGGTTTGTTTTACTATGAAAATATGGGATGTGTGGTCCCAATGGCTACTGGATATAATTCATTTAAAATATATTTTTTTATCTTTTTTAATAAATATTCTTGTTTTGCTGGTGTACAAAAAAATAAAAAAATAAAAATTATTAGGATAGTAGATGTGTATTTGTTTGAACTTTAGAGAAGCAAAAAAAAAAAAAAAAAAAATCATTTCTTAAATAACAAAATATCAACCAAGCCCCATCAGTTTTCACCTTTACTAATAGATGGAGCTTCCTGATTTCATTAATTTGTAACTACTTGCTCCTAACCTCCTTTATTATCAGAATAAATAATTTTCAGATGGAACTCTGACTTTATTGGAAATTACTTTTCTAGGGTTGGGAGAAGTCTCATTGCATTTGTTATGAATTTTTCTTTAAATTACCACATTTTGAGCAAAATAAATAAATACTACACAAATTACATAGCCATATATCCAATATTAAAGTAATCTCACCATAAAATAGCCAGCTCAAAATTTATATAAGACCGTCTAAATTGATGGTGTAATTTGGTCAAATAAAGTAAAAAATACTAAATAATAAATAATAATAATAAAAATTGTATAAGTGTTTGATTGATTCGTGTAATATACGGTAAATGAATTTTTATATGATATTTTGATATTAGAATCCTACAGTTATCTATTATACGATTAGATATACGCCTTAATATAATATTCTCGTGTCAACTGTTACGAGGTAGACTTCGCAATAGCATTGCACATAAACAATTGCCTCAAAAGTCTTATCATATCTCATAAATTTAATTGCTAAGAATGAAGAAATTTGTTATTTATAAATTTTAAATTCTTGGTATTTGTTAACGTAATTTTTGACATTATTTTACATTAATTTTATGCTCTCAATCCCAATATTTTATTTTTTGATTTTTTTTATTAATGCTTGTCGATCCTCAAAAAATAAATTATCCTCCTACAACATATTGCATAATGGATGGACGTTTATCTATTTACTCAAAAGTTTAAACTCCCATTTATAAAACAATCTCCCACTTATAATATTTAACATGATTGTATTACATGTTTATATTGGTTTGGACTTACGTGAATCTTGGTGAACAACAAAATCAAAATTACAGGTTAAAGGACTTTGTTCCTACAACTGTCGAGGCAAACCACAACCAAGAATATATTAGTTGTAAACATGCCTTGATGTTTGGCTACACACCCAAAGCCGGCCTATATATTAGGCTGCTGCCCTAATCACAATAAATGAAAATGTGGGTCCCACATTCAAATTATATTTCAAAAACAAAAGGGATATGGCGATATGCCCAAAACCTACAATTAAAGATTTTGATCCATAATTAATGTAAAACCATACACATGATTTAGAAATAAAATTATCATAGAAGCTTCTTCATTACTTGGCCACCTTATATTAATAATGTGAGAGTCATCAAAGTCTATTGGTCTAATGATATTTTCTCTTATTTAAAAAATATATATATATAAAGAAAAAGAAAAATAAAAATAAATAAATAATTAAAAATTATGATGGAGTCTTCAAAGTGGAGCTAGCTATTCCTTGTTGACCTAATTAAATTTAGTGAAGAAGATGAATATAGTTGGCATGGTTTGACCTAACTAAAAATTAAAATAACATATAGTAATTTCAATCATGACGGCAAGATTTCGATATTGCTAATATATATATTAGAATATATAGTACAGGTAGTTTGCACAAATAATGTAATGTATTGTATTTGTATTAAATACGTCTATGGATATAACATATCAACTATAGAAATATCGTTTTAATCATTCACCTAACATTTTCATAAACTCCCAAAAGTTTTGGGTTTTTTTTTTTTTTTTTTTGTGTTTATTAACTAGAAATTCATACACTCGTTTTATCCTTACGGACTCCAACGTACTCTCACTTTTCCATTAAAAGGTAAAACGGATACCTTAATTCAGAATGCTTGAAAATACAATAGTATATGACTAATATTAGGTGAATTCGTGTATGTATAGTAATATGAATATCATGTAAATGATTCCAATATTTTATCCTTGATAAGGGTGTAAATTTATGTTCTGTTTGGTACACAATTTTTTTTTATCAAGTATTGTAATAATAAACTGTGAATGAAACGTTTCGTAAATAGTGACAAAAAATTCGAAACACCAATTTCACGTTTTAATATATTTTCGCATGGTAACATTTGGTACTATAGCAGCGATGAAGAGTAATTTATTTAAAAAAATATATATTTAAATAACACTTTTAAACAAATCATTATATTTTTCAAATTTGCAACACTTTTTTACAAAATATGTTTTCATATTTTTTGTTTCAAAAAAATTTGTAATAAATAAACATTTTTAAACATATTTTATATTAATATTCAAAATAATTTACAACAAAATACTTATTTTATTACGTGTTAAAACAGAACGTATACAAAATAATGAGCTTAAAGAGATAAAACTTGTACTATACATGGGCATTAGATGTAAATCAAGCTATCCCTTTCCAAGCCTCTCGATTATCTTTCAAACTGTTTGTTTATATTATCATAAATGAAAGGTCAAATATCATCTTAAAAGATCCTAGAATAAAATTTTCAAATTCTTCGATAATTGAGCAAGATGAGCCTTTCATGAGTCACTTTCAATTTATACAACTGTAATACTTTCATTATTTTATATATATATATATATATATATATATATATATATATTTTGTTATTATATTTTTTTCTTGAAATTTTCAGCAAATAATCTTAGAAGTTTAGATTGTCTTATAATAACTTGCTAACCTAATCCATAAGATGCACTCTAATGTGACCACTCAAACCAAAACAAAATTGTGGATATACACAAAGTTAATAGCATACTCAATGTTGGCGTTTATTTTACATATAATATAATGGAATAACTTGTCAAAATTTAGTTGTTTGCAAGTTAAAATAATACCATATATAATATACAATGGTACATTCAGGTATGGAGATATAACTTAGAAGATCAACCTATTCAAATTATAATATGTTAAAATTTACATACATGCAAAGGCAATAAATAAATATCTTTTGATCAATATTTCTGGCTTTTTTTCTTTTTATAAATAATTTCTATTTTCTGAGAGTTGAAAATAAAAAATTATAAATAAATTTGTTATTTTAATAATTTTCTCAAAATAATTTTTATTTTTTAAAGTTCTTAAAATATATTTTTAAAAGAATCAATCAGACAAGTCTTTTAACCATCTATAACTACAAGCATTGATAGTTATAGACTAATAATTGAGTTAACACCTCTAGTCAACTACTAGCATTCTTGTGGAACACACAAATACAAAACCCTTTTAGTGATGTTCTAGAATACGTGAAATGCCAAGTAAAAATGTCCACTTTCATGCATAGAATAGTATTTTGGTAGGGTAGATGTCATTATATTTAGACCTATATTCTAAATGATAGGGTAATATATATATTTTTTGGTAGGGTATATATCACTATATTTAGACCTACATTCTAAATGAAAGGGTAATATATATGAAAGGGTAATATATATATATATTACCCTTTCATTTAGAATGTAGGTCTAAATATAGTGATATATACCCTACCAAAAAATATATATATTACCCTATCATTTAGAATATAGGTCTAAATATAATGACATCTACCCTACCAAAATACTATTCTATGCATGAAAGTGGACATTTTTACTTGGCATTTCACGTATTCTAGAACATCACTAAAAGGGTTTTGTATATATATATATATATATATATTACCCTTATATATATATATATAATACATACGACATTAAACATATAATATGACTATAAAATGTATATCAAGTCACTATTTTATTATACATACAAGTTCAATCACAATAGCCAATTTTTTTTTTCTTTGTTAGATAAATGAGAAGGTAAATTAGACTTAGCATTCATACGTGCAGGCATATAGTTCATTACTTTCACTTCCCCTAACTTCGTTTGTCTGCATTTGAAAAGTGGTTTTGAACGTGAAAAGTCACTAATACCCTTATATTATTTTAATCACTTTATTACAATAGAGAAGGTTATTATTGTATTTTTATATAAGGAAAAAGGATAAAATTGACATTTTATAAAATTTGATTAACAGTGCTATCATTAAGTACACCAATGGCATAGGGAATTTTTAGTTGGTTATATTTTGTATATACAAATTTTGAAATTACCTCCACTAAAGTTTTTAAAAAAATCATAAAAAGACTCTAAAAAAAAGTTAAAATTTAAAAGACCCCTCATTTTCTAACTTATTTGTCTAACAAAAATTTCAAAATTGAAAAACACCCATGTCCGCAAAAATTAAAAAAAAGACCCCTTCTTTTTTGCAAAATTTCTTATAACATTATTGTCAATATTTACCCACACTCAAGTATATTTCTAGTTTCGTCACTGATTAGTACACTCGTGTGCCAAATCTCATAAAAGATCAAAATAATATATAATTTGTTCAAACTTAAAAAAAATTAGTGTAGTTTAACCATGGCTTGAATGATTTCATAATTAAGGTCATTTCAGTCAAACTGCCCGAGTACATAATTGATCGATATTGTGTGTGTGTTTATATATATATATATATATATATACATAAGTAACATGCAAGCATTCACATTCCAACCGAAACATAAACTCTGCAATTTTCTAGTATGAACTAAAAAGAAGGTGACATTCAATCTAACAATTGGTGGTATGAATGAGGGGACCAACTTTGGAGTGGTCGACCAAATTTATGGTTGTGGGCGGCCTTTTCTCTGTGGTGTTACTTTTCTCCACGAGGGTCCACTCTATGCTGACCATACATCATGAATGAAGCAACCCAATTGGAATCTACTTAATAGGAAGGCCAATAAAACTAGTTTGAATTGAAAATAAAAAAATTAAAATTAAATTAGTTTGAACTTTGAATAAGTCTTATCAGTATTCTGTTGTGTCATTTTCAGCGAAGACCAGTGTTTGCCATTATAGTTGAACCGGTCATAAAAGACTTTTTGTGACGATATTGTGGGCGGGTGTGTTATGGACGGATTCGAGAAATATTGTCAGGCTACCACATTGGCGAGTTAAGGGTGTACAGTCTCACATCGTCTGGGTGGAGGAAAGGTGAAGTGCTTATATATAAGTGTGTCATCTCTAATTGGTATGAGGCATTTTGGAGTGAAACTCAAGAGCAAAATTGTGAGGGCTCAGGCCCAAAGCGGACAATATTATACCATGTGGTAGAATGGGTTGTTACAAATGAAATAGCATCAGAGCCTGACCCAGCCGGAAGTGTGTCGACGAGGAGGCCCGGGGACGTCGGGCCTCCAAGGGGGTGGATTGTGACCACCTTGTGAGCGGCTACCACACTGGCGAGTTACAGGTGTACATTGGGTGAAGCTCAAGAGCAAAACCGTGAGGGCTCAGGTCCAAAGCGGACAATATCATACCATGAGGTGGAGTAGGTAGTTACACTTTTAGTTTGAATTTTTTTTTTTTTTTTTTCATATTTAACTGGTTTTTTACTACAAAAGTATATTTAAATAACAGACTTTGACTTTGTAAAACATAAATTTGAAATTCAAATTTTTTGTTTTGGGTAACAAAGAAGTTCAAATTTCATAAGTAGAATGAAAATTTTATGTAGTGAAATTGTTTATTTCTCAAAAAATTATTTTAAAAAAATACTGTACTTGACAAAAATCATTTAATGTGTTTTTAAAATTATTTTTTTAAATTGATGCAAAAACAGAAAGAACTGGAATCAAAGTCGTCCAGGATGGTTTTCAGTTATATGTCCAAAAGATGGAGGATATTTTGGGATATGTATGAGGTCAATGGCATATAGCAAATATCGACTCCTGAACCCAACATGGCATTCTCGTATTTCGCAGTAAATCACTGCCCTTTTTGGAAACTTTGTACATGGCACGCTGTTTGGAGAAATGAAACGGCTGAGGATCCGTCATTTTGATCACTTCGTCCATTCCTAACCGTTGGATCAGAATCCAAAAAAACCTGTGGGTGAAAGTAACCACAGTTTCGGCACAATCAGCTCAACTCATAGGATAATTATGAAAACAAAAACCCCTAAATAATGCCATTAATTACAACTCGCCCACTACTAGCTTTCCTATAAATGAATCGTTGAAGGCGAGCTAGGTTTGCCGAACTGAAGAGCCAAGCGCCCTTTAGAAGAAAAAAAAAATATCTCCTCTCTCTCTCCGTCTCTGTCTCTCTCTAAACATATATATAGTAATATATATACACACACTTTCTCTCACTAAAAGCAACAATGGCGGTCTCATCTAGAAGGTCAAGCGGACCGGTCTTACCGGTGACTTCCTCCTTTCAGAAATCAGTCTCACCTTCCGGTCGATTCTCGTCAGAAAAGTCGTCGTATTCGTCTTCGTCATTCGCTTCATCCACAAGCTCTAGTTTCTATTCTTCTCCGTCCACTGGTTTCTTCCACCGATCCACTTCTCCGAGTCGCGTGAATCTCCATGGACTCGCTTCTCCCGCGCCGTCCGTTCGGTTCTCGATCGATAGATCGAGGTCTCCTGGCCGTTCGATGGCCGTGTCTCCGCGAGATCACGTCGTTCGCAGACAGAGCAACATCCCGAAGAAGTCATGTATGTGTTCGCCAACGACGCATCCAGGCTCGTTCCGTTGCAGTCTACACAAAAATATAAACAATCAGCACTCGGTTTCGTATTCGCCGCATCGGTTGAATGCTCGAAGATCAGCGATGACGAACTCGCTTGTTCGGATCGGAACTGTTGAAGGCGATTTGGTCAAGCGAGCTTTATCCGCTCTGATTCGACCATCGTCGCATCAACAGAAACGTAGAGCCTCGTTTCAGCCGAGGCCGAGTCGGCTTTCGGTCATGTGGAAAGCTGACGATATATGATCACAGGTCGGTTATGTTATCGTATTTTTTTGGCTTCTAGAGTTCGTTCGCCGTGGAAGACGACCGTTAGATACCGGCGAGTTTGGTTGCAGTTTTTTGTATTCCGGCAACTGGAAATATTGAGACAGCACGAAGTAAATTCCCCTTTGTACATATGATTTGCTTCAATTGAAGGAAATTTTGGACATTATATTGATTCAGCAAAATAGCACTTAGAACGTATTTAAAAAAATAAAATCTGGACTAAAATTTAATCAAGATAGATGATTATTTGAGATTCGATTAAGAGCTTTGGATTTGTTCTTGGTTTGGTTTGGTTTGGTTTGTGAAGAGGCATGTACTTATTATGCTTGTTATGCATCAGAGCATTGGGAGGTCTGTTACGTGTGCCGTTATCTTGGCGGTTCCGTTTTGACGGTTTCCGTGGAGTGGGTTTATGTGCGTGCTTATTCGGTAGTCGTTTCTTCCGGCAATTTGTATTGGCTTCTGTTCCGTGTAAGTTACTATTTCCTCACTTTTTTTTCGTTGTTTTATTTTGTTTAATTATTTTATTGTTTGCGATGGTGCAGGTTCGAGTACGACGTCAAGGAATTGAATAATTAACTTGAATTTCGAAACCGTTTTACCTTTACGCGGGAACTAAGACGGAGTTAGAGGGAAAAGTGAAAAAGGTAAAAGGAAAGTAAACCGTAGACTGATAAGAGGGAAAAGTGAAAATGGGAAAGGTATGACTTGAGGACTACATTCTACAGTAATTGGACTTTAACATTGACTGAGAAAGCTAGGACCGAGTATAAAGCAGACTCGGAGGGATACATGAATTGAGGGCTACAGTCATTGGACTTACTCCCTTTTTTATTTTATTATTATTATTTTTTAGGTCTAAAGTCAATATTACAGTGCAAACTATAAAGTCAAATTAAAAAAGACATATAAATTTGAAACAAATCAAATAAATTAAGTAGGTTTCAGATTTGTGAATGAAACAGAGTTCAACACCCTATAAATGAAATCATTATAGGAGAACACAGCAAATTGGAGAGATAATCGCTCCAAAGTTACAACCACAAGACATTTCGGCACACAAAATTTCGCACAAAATCCAATCAAGAAGAAAAAGATCAAATCTATGTGGGAAAAATCCAAACCGGCCTACATCAGAGATCTAGCCCGAGAAAAACAACAGATCTGCCTAGGCGAGCCGAAAACGAAACCAATATGAACAGATCTAACCGAACAAAAACAACAAACATGAACAGATCTAGCTGAACAAAAACAAAAATAACTTAAAAAAAACTCACAGTGTGCATTTATTCACACATTAAGTTTATTACTACAGCGAGAGACAGTTAGCAACTCCCCACTACCATGGTAGGGAGTAGAGAAGGAAGAAAACAAAGACTAGTTTAGAGAGAGAAAGGTTGAAAGAGGTGAGAGCGGTTTCTGTCTTTGGACAGTAATTGGACTTTAAGATGGCTGAAAAAGCACTAGTAATGGAGTATAAATTAATTTTAATGAAATGAATTATATTTATGGTGGGTGGGTTTGGTAGGGATTTAGGAGATAAATTTTTGAGATCTTGCTTAATCAAATTTTGGTACTATAAAATGAAAACAAAAGAAAATAAAAGTATTAAGGTAAGATTTGGAGGGATACACTGTATGAATTAGGGTTTTAGAGGTGCACAAATATATACTACAATTAGCATAGTGGAATCAATAGGAATTGTATTGAACTACGTAAGGAATATAACTTTATATTTGTTTCACAAAAATAGGATAATAGCTGACAAACTTGTATCAATGTGGTTGGTAATAGGATTTTATTTTTTATTTTTTATTTTTTATTAAAGGGACAAAAAAAAAAAAAGGGAATAGTGGTTTTGAATGGAAGCTTTGCGGTTCAGTTCCAAGCCTCAACAGTTTCTGTATTAACTTTTTAGAAACTGTTGGAATTGATTTGGTTCCAATTTAGTATGATACCATGCCGAACCAAATTGTGTGCATCCAGTGGCGTAGCCACATAGGGACAAGTGGGGACAGCTGTCCCCATTAAATTTTTAATTTGTTTAATTTTTTTTAATTTTATATGGAAAGATTTTTATATTTGTATAATTATCCCCACTAAAAATTGACATTGCACATATATATAATATATTATATATATATATGACCAAATGACCATTCACGGAATTATAAAATAAAAAAATAAAAAAAAAGGAATATAATTTTTGCAAAAAATATGATATTTTTTTCCACTTTCTCAAAATATTATATTCTTTCTCACTTTCTCCAAAAATACAAGATATTCTTTCACACTTTTGACTTTACCACAAACAAATGCGTTGTTAATTTCCATCACATTTTCACTACAGTGCGAAGACAGGTAATCTGATATATATTTTTGTTTCATCTAAATTTACTATTATTATGCCATGAACATTTTGAAAACTCGACTGCTATTCTGAAATATTTAGTACTGTTTAATTTTTACATATATTATTTTGGTTCAAACAATATATATATATATATATATATATATATATATATATATATATGTATTATTGCTGTTAAAAATTGTCCCCACTGAAGGAAATTTCTAGCTACACCACTGTGTGCATCCCTAAAATGAAAGTAGCTTAAAAATGAAAAGAAATGGAAGAAAAAAAATAGTATTTTTAATGAAAATTATTAATATCAAATTTATTCTTATTTTTATAAAGACAAAATCTTTGAGAAATGGTATGGCTGAAAAATCATTAAATTAGTTTCCTTTATTTTCTTTCCTTACACGTGATTACTATCTTCTTCTTCTTCTTTTTTTATTTTTTTTTATACTAATGTTTTCATTTTTTTTCTTTTTCTCCGCCTAAATTCTGGTTGAAAAGCTATTCCAAATCCTACATTGCCCACACAATACAGTTTTTTGCACTACTACACACTACTACGTACATACGTGTATGCATAAAGAAATTCACATTTTAATTTTTATTACCGAGTGAGCTCGGAATAGTGAGTGGAAAAGAATTTTTAGAGAATTAAATATCTAAAGCATTAATATACAAAAATTAAAATTTAAACAAAATGGAGTTGAAAAGAAATGGGTGATTATAATTTGAAATTTATATAATATATTAAAAAGAAGATTAAAATTTGGGATTAGGTTGAACGTCACCTCACCTTAATAAATTCGGGGTGAGAGTTTTCAATTTAAATCCAATCTTAATTAAAACAAAGGTCGTTCAAGTTCGTTAAAAATAATATTCTGTCAAGTAGGAAAGAAGAAACTTGAATGGAAGAGATAAATTAATGGATGAATCAGACATATTCTTAGATAATAGACATTGTCCTTCCCTCTTTTGTTTGGTTGGTTGAAAGAAAAACTAATGGTACAATACATTACTTTGTTTGTTAGGAGATGAAGCAGTAAAAATTGAGATTAAAATATTAAGTTTATATAATATTTATGAATGGTGTTAGTATAATATTTTTTTTTATAACAATCTTACTTCTCTTCCTTCCTTTTTTCCTAAGGCTTTGTTTGGTTAGGTAAAAACATCTAGAAAAGAAAGGAAGTAGAAATTTTTTTATTTTTTTTAGAGTTTGGATTGATAGAAAAAGAAAACTAATAAGAAAGTTTGTTTTCATACTTGTTTATTTTCTCTCAAAAAAATTCATGCACATAATAAAGGGAAATAATTTTTTCGCATGAAATGTTTGCCTTTTTATTTGACATACCTAACTTACCCATTAACTTAATCATGAAAAACAATTTCTTCCTTTATTATTATATTGAATTTCTAAGAGGCAAGTTATCTGCAAAACAATTTTTGTTTGTTCTTTTGTTTGTTTTTTTTTTTTTGTTTGTTTTTTTTTTTCACCTTTCTTTGTTTTTCCACAAGTTCATATATAACTCGCAACAACAAAATACAATCAAATATTTCTAAAAAAAAAATTAGTATTGCCATCAATACATCTCCATGTTTTTTTTAAGTTTTGTTTCTCATACACTAATAATTAGTTATGAAGTCTTATTTTAAATATAAATAAATTATAAATAATTATATTATTAAATTTAATAATCCATTATTTTACTATTTCCTTGCTAAAAATATACATCAACATATACAAATTCATTTATTTATTAGTATTTAAAATTATAAGGGCAAATTTGGTATCTTCAATTGATTTTTTTTTCACTTTCATATTATCTAAAATAATAAATTAATATTTTTTTATAATTTTCTTGAATAAATTTTTATTTTAATTAAATATATGTTAAAAAATAATTTTTATTTCGTTCACTTCACTTATTTTTTATTTTATTTATTTTCTTACTTATTTCTATCTATATGGGGTGGGTTTTGAAGTGACTTTCCATCCAATCGCATGAATCTAATATTGTCCAATCACATTAATCTAATATTGCGATTGTGGCTGATTTGATCAAAAGGAACACTAGGTAACTTGGCAACTTAGGTATATCACGTGATCATCTGTGTTTAGATTCTTGACAAGCTTTTGAATATATATATATATATATATATATATATATATATATATATATATCTGTGTGTGTGGGGGTGGGGGGGGGGGACCACCTGAAAGTAACCTTTGTCTTTGCAGATTTGGCGGTTGGAAGGTGCATATTAGGTGTCAGAATCACACCTAATCTTATAAAAATTCCACAGAATGATAAATATGTTATGTTCGTTGTATGCATTATACCATCAATGTGAGCTGTTTTTTGCCTTGCCTGTCGACAACTACAAGCAACATAAAGCCTAACGATTCAAATTCCCAAAACTTGTTAAAGTTTTTAAAAAATTCACATTTTTCTTTGAGAAAATTATATATATATGAATATTTGGGGGCAAATTTATATTAGTATGATGTAAAAAAAATATATATATTTTACTTTTTCTAAAATGGTAGTTTGAAAAATAATTTTAGGGACATAAAAAATCATTGTGCATTCTTTTGTGCACAAAATCACTTATTAGTACGTAATCTATTTTTAATACATCAATTCCACAATTCTACATTAAAACTTGATCTCGTATACAAAATTTTGCACCAATACATCATCTTTTGAACAAAATTATGCACTGATACATCATCTTTTGAACAAAATAATACACACATTTCTAAACACAATATTTTTTAAAAGACAATTATAAAAGGTAAGGGTATACGTGGTTTAGTAACTTTGAAAACAATTATTAAAAATTTAGAAAACAGAAAATTATTTTAAGAGAACTATAAAAAACAGTTCTTTGAAAGCAGGTTATTTTATAACTGAGGTTTCACAAAACATCTTTTTAGAAAATTGAACCAAATAGAATTTTTGGTACAAATTTTCTGAATTCCAAATCAACCATAACCTAATTGGGCTAAAAAGTTGAGAATTTTGGCTTCTATTTAAATATAGATATATAATGTTTGGCTATCAACTATTATACACTTGCACTTGATCGATTTAACTTATAGAAAAATGACTTTCTTTCTTTCTTTTCTGTTATATATTTATTTACTTATGGTGATGATTAGAGTGTCCCTAAGGAGTTTGGACGGCTCCAATGCCACGTGTAGCCTCATAAGTGTAGTTGCTAACCAACTTACCTGAAATTTTTTCCCTTAAAAAGTGGAGTGTCAAATTAGTTTTTGGAATAATTATAAAATTTAAGCGTGCTTTTCAAAGAAAATCAAATTATCAAGATAAAACAACTAAAAATGTCCTCAAGTAATTCATGTTATATATAATATATGTATATTTATATAACAAACGATAATGTAGTTTATTGATATCTCTTCATCCATCCAAAGGATGACTTGGATGTCAATATATCAGTTGGTTTGTGAATAATCAGGATCTAGATCAACCCAACAACTTTACCTTCACAAACCAGGCCCAATTAATCTGAGAGGTGCTCATGAGGATATAAGTCCATTTTCAACCAGTCGAATCACTACAACATCTTGTCCAAGTTGTTGTACTGAATATCACCAGGCTCATTTTGGTCCATCTTGGTAATGGCCCAAGCCATAGTAAAACCTAATTGGTCCAACGGCTCAACCCACTCAGGGCCAAATTTCGAGAAATTTGAATATATATATATATATATATATATATATATATATATATATATATATTTAAAAAGAAGGTAACACTTTATCCCAAAACTTGGTAAATATATATATATTTTTTAACCTTTATTTTATTTTATTTAAATAAATAAAAAGATTGAAATAACTACAAATTCAAATGTCTTCAACTCTACTTTCGTAGGGTTCAAACATTTTGAGACTTAAATGATATATGTAGTTTACATACAATTTCACTCATATTAAAATACTCTCTGTGATTTTAATGAAAACTCGAATAAGTTTAACTTAAAATTCTATTTTTTCTTTAAAGATTCAATCTTTATATATTAAAAATGTGTGACTTAAAAAGTATTACCTTGTTTGACACTGAGAATAGTTGTTTTCTCCTTTTCAGTCTTTACTCATTAAAATACTATTTGTAACTTTAACTCGACTAAGTGTAACTCGAAACTTTCTTTTTCTTTCAAAAATTCACTCTTTATATATTTTAAAGGTCTAGTGACTTAAAAGGTAACTGATTGAGGTATTTTAATTCAAATATTCAATCTATATTTACATCACATAAATGTGTTTTTCAGGATCTTCTTACTGGGAAAATGATTAGGCATGCTAAAGAAAACGAGGGACTGCATTTCCTTGAAGCATATATAGTGAGAAATGCTCTCTTAGGAATATTTTACTCCTTATCTTGAAATTGATAATAATCAGAACGCAAATCAAACGCAAATCAATATTGAAGAGATAAGTTGCTCTCTTTAATTAATCAAAAATATTATAAGGATGATGTAAGTTCAAATCTTTCTAAGACAAGAAAAGGGATTTCATCATCATTATGATCATTAAAAACCATTACAAAAGTGTAAAAGATTTTGCACACAATTGGATTCAAATTAATTTGAAAATATTTGAAAATAAAAATTCTACAAGGGTCTGTTTGGTTAGCCAAAAACTGATGGTGAAAAGTGAAGCGAAAGAAAAGAAATTTGTATTTCTATGGTTAGCATAATTTTTTTGTAAAAAAATTGTGGAAAAATATTGTTTCATTAGTTTGGCTAGTAAGAAAGTGAAAAGAAAATGATTTATATGCCAAAACTACTCTTATGAATTTACTACTAAGTAATATACATCATGCAACCAGCATAATAAAAAATATAAATAATTGTTCTATGAATAAAAAAATGTGTGTACATATATATAAAGAGTCATAATTTAAAGAGTCAGAAAATATATAAATAATTATTTTATGAATAAAAATATATGTGTGTGCACACACATATATATAGTCCTAATTTAAAGAGTAAGAAAATTATAACTTAATTAAGAATCTTAATTTAAAGAGTTAGAAAGTTGTAATATAATTAAAAGTCTTAATTTATCAAAAAGAAGGAAGAAAAATAATTGACAACGATATAATTGAAAACTAACATATAATGATACAACTTCTACGGAAATTGAAACATTGTTTCCTAAAAACTTTCTATTTTACGCTAATCAAATTATAAAATAATTAATTTTTTTTTTTTTTTTTTCTTCTTTCTAGCCAGTTGAGCTAACCAAACTAACAGCAAACCGAACCGTTAAGACTAGTGAAACTGAACCAAACCTCGTTGGAAGAGATCGGTTCGGTTCCACGGTTTTGGCTACAGACCTCAGGACCATTGGATACAATGCACCCCCACTGCAGCGTATATTACCTGGAACCCTACTGAGAGCGGTGGGAAGAGAAAAGAGAGCGATCACCATCACCTTAGTTGTGCCTTCTATAGCCTTTATATAATATATATTCTATACACACGCACAAGCAATCTCAGTGCTCATCATCCCCATTATTCAAAAGCAAACTCTCTGTGTTAGGGTTTCTATTTCATTCACAAATGGAGAAAATCAGAAGAGCATCGCATGCAGGTTCATGGTACACTGACAATCGTAAGTCAAATTCCAATAATTTGCTCAATTTCATGTAATTTGAGTCCCCATTTCTGTGGATTTTCAAGCTTGACTTTACAATTACCGATTTAAAACACACACATAGAGCTTTGGAGTTTAATGTGTTTTGTTGAGCTTCGAATGTTTTAGTAGATTGATAATCTTTACTGTAAAATCTATATAGATATGTACGAATTCCACCTTTTGTGAGTTCTTTTGAGGCTCCGTTATACACGAGGGGAAATTGTTTTATTGCGTAACCAAAATGTAAGTTTAGTAAAATCAGCAATTGGAATGAGAGAATTGTGAAAATTGATGGATGTGAGGTGTGTAAAAGAATGAACATTTTTGATATATTGGACAATTTGGATCAATTGTCAAAACAGGGAGTTACAGTGGAGATATTTGAAGCGAGTAGTGTTTTTGAGGTGCCCTGTAATAGTAAATTATGATGAAATGATGAGGAAAATTGAAGTAAATGTAGCTGCTGCCTCATCACACTATAAATGTAGCTCACCAGACTCCGGAATGGCTGAAGCCTCGTGCACCGGGTTAGCCCTTTTTAATTGCTCTAAAGTTTATGATTGCAAGCACCTTGTCATGTTTATGTAATGGTTATAGTTGGGCTTGTTATGACTTCACCCTTTAAGTTTAATGAAAGTGGAGCAGTTCTAGAAATATGATTAATAATAAGGCGATAAGCAAGGCCCTTGGAATGTAAGTATTCAAGGGTAAAGTGATGGGTTTAAAGATTCTTGGGTATTGATGAGCTGGCAAACTCACAATGGCAGTGCTGGGTTGAGCTGCCCGAAGAGGTGATTTCCATTGAATTGGAGCACAATAGTTAACTGGCAATGCTACTTTTGAAGTATACTTTGATCAAACATTTCACACCAGCATATGCCTTTATCCCGTTATCCCGTTTGAATGGGATTGGCTACATTGATTATTTTTTATGTTATTTTCTATTATAAGTCATTTCTGCTACTATATATATATATATATATTCAAATTAGTTTTTATTATTTCATTCAATGTTAGTTTTGTTCAACCTTGTCTTTTACCTTCTATATAAACCAATCTTCCTCTTCTCATAAGTGCATCTATCGGTCTATGTTGAATAAGCCCATACTACATATGTCTATTTTTTCAATTTTTCTCACTAATTGGTACAACCCTAATTGTTCCCTCACACATTGATTATTGATCTTATCTATTTTTGGTTAATCCTAGTATCCATCTAGCATTCACATTTTAGCCTTGTGAATGAGTTATTCTTGTTTCTTTTTTCACGTCCAACACTCTGGTAGTTGGTTTGATAAACGTCCTTTATAATTTTTCTTAACTTATTTGATATTCCCTTATCTTATAAATCACTACTAGCTTGCCTCCATGTTGTCCATCCTATTCCAATTCTACTACTTATATCAACATCAATCTCCCTGCCCTCCTGTATAAATGATCTTGAATATCGTAAATGATTATTTTGATATCGTTATATTATTATTTTCTATAGCATTACTAAATTTACCTTTCATATATTATGCTTTAGTTTGACATATTATTATACCTTTTGACTTTAAAGCCTTCCTCCGAGTTTTTAATTTCATTGCTATGGTTTCCTTAGAATTATCTAATAGCGCTATATCATCAGCAAATAACACACACCATGGGGTGTTTCCTTATAGGCTTTTCGTTATTTCATCCAAGGTTATTGTGAATAAATTGGATTTAGGGCTGATCCTTCACATAATCCTGCTTTTATAGGAAAATCAAGTCTCCCCACATATGCTGCTAACTCTAATTGTTGTATCCTTATGCATATCCTGGATAGGGTTTATAAATTTTATAGGAATATGTTTTGTTCATAGAGCCCACCAAACTATATCTCTAGGTCATATGTCTTCTCTAAGTCTATGAGAATGATATGTAGATTTTTCCGCCTGCTTCGACAATATTTCACTAATTGATTTAATAAATAATTGGTCTCTACAGTAGATCTCCCTCGCATTTCGAACATCATTGTCTTAATTTTTGTTATATTATCTTTCTCATAATTTCATGGTATGAATCATTGATTTAATTCCTCGATATATGCCACAATTTTGTACATCTCTCTCTCTTTTTTTTTTTGGTGTGCGCAAATGGAAATGGGTACTCTAGTACTTTCCTTCTACTCATTGGGCATCGTGCCTTTCTCTAAGATCTTATTAAATAAATTTGTTAGCCATGCAACTCCTACTCTTGCTAAGGTTCACTCCTCTACAGGGATGTTATCCGATCCTACTGCTTTATTATTTTACATTTTTTGCAATGTGTCTTCTATTTCCTTATTGTTGATTTTATCAATTGTTTCAAGATTGCACTCATTGTCTTTAATGTCCTCCTTACAATATTCCCCTTTCAAGAGTTGTTGAAAGTTATTTTGCCACCCATCAATTCGTCATCCTCTTTGACTAATATTTTCTTAATCTTCTACCTTAATACATCTAGCTTTATCCATATCTCTAGTCAATTTATCAACTTTTGCCAATTTGTAGCTAGCTTTTTCACCCTCACTTGTGCTTATTTTTTCATAATATAATATTGTTTGGCTTTAGCTACCATCTTCTTAGATTCATTTTTAATTTCTTGTATTTCTCTAGTTCTTCTTACCTTTTTTGCCATTCTTTAAAGCTCCTTTTATTTTATATTACTTTTTATATTTCATCATTCCACCTCCACATTTCTTTTTTTTTTTAAATAAATTTCTTCCCTTTAGTCTCTTCCAAAGTCTCTTTCACCATAGTCCTAATATACTCCCTATAATTTATTTGCATTGTCATTCCAATTTCATTTTCTTTCTTGTAATGTTTTTTTCCCTCTAATGTTATCTTCTTATTAACTTTCAGTTCTTTCCATTTTATGTATTGATGCCTTTTTCTTGGTTTTTGATATTTAAAGCCTTTATATTAGCAATCAGTGTTGGTTGGTGAGACTTTCAAACTAGTATATAGGAGATAAAAAAAAAGAAGTATTATTTCGATATGAGACCAGCTATCTTTTTAATATTTTTCAACATTAAATGAGCCTTTACGCATCAAGGGTGTTAAGGTAGATTAGTTTTAACATTCAATGGAACTAGAATGTAGTACGCAGTAATCACACTGGACAAGAAGAGAGTGTCAATTAACATTGTTGAGTCATATGCAAAAATAACTGGTGGTTCACAACAAGGAGAAGGTAGGTGGAAGAAGTGGTTCAAGGTTTTGGGTAAATGATGTGATGGTTTATCATTTAACTAAACCCATGGCGTTTGACAGATTTGAAAGGTGAAAAGGAATTGTTTTGCTGATGCTCAGCAGTTGGAGAAAGGCTTTTTGTTGCTCATTCAGGTTTTTTTTCTTGGATACAAGTCAGTGAAAGCATCAAAAGTTTGAAGTTAAAATTCTGAAAATTTCGTTTATAGTTTGTTGATCTTGGTTCTCGAACAATTTTTAACCAAATGGGCCATTTGCCCAATGATATAACCTCTCCTTCCTGAAAGGTGAGGTGAGGGGTTTGAGCCCCGTAGTGAACAATTTGTGAAATGTGTGTGTGAGTACTTACCTAACCAAAAAAAAAAAAAAGAAGCAATCATTAAAAGTGTCATATTCAGGTTTGGACCTTCCAGTTAATATGAAAATTGAATCTTGAAAAGCTGAAGAAAACTCTGAATCAACCTTCCAGTTAATATGAAAATTGAATCTTGAAAAGCTAAAGAAATCTCTGAATCACCCTTGCCTGGTAGTTAGATCATGATAACTCCAGAAAAGATACGTGGAAAGTGGAAAGCATTATTCCTTATAAAATACTATGAAACTCTACTTTTGGGGCTATAGATTGTGGATTGACTATCATTATTTTTATTATTATCTTTTTCATGAGAGTTGATGATGGCCATGATGGCCACCAACCCATGGTGGGGTGGTATGGTAAAATAAGTTTTCATTTTGTTAGCTACATTAAAAAATAATTAGTCTTATACTTGTATATGCTAAAAAAGGGATATTTAGTAGTAAAAATTCCAGTGATGCACTCAACTTCGTTCTTTTTAAAATGAACCGAAGCTCAAAAAAAAAAAAATTTGTTTAGAGAACTAATTATGCAACATTTACCTATCCTTTCTTTGACAACTAAGTGTAAGTTATTCATTCCTGATTATATAAAGTTGAATATCAGGCTATGGATCTAATAAGCTAAATAATATATGGTGCTATCCTGCTGTGATTCTGACAAAACAAGAGTACCTGGTATTCTTAGCGTAAATGATAAAATTTTCATGTTTTATTATAAAGCAGTTCTCATTTAGCTGTATCCTGTATGAGTGCAAGTAAACTTTAGATGGACATGACACGCTAAGTACTATATGAACCCCTGGTATAATGTTTACAGTTTGACAACTATTATAACTTCTTTAAGGGCATTAGGGAAATCTCAATATTTTTGCACAGAAATTACTTTATTTTTAACATTGTTAACCATAAATATTACCAATGTTTCTAATTGTTCATAGAAGCTCTTTTATCGATGCTGGAGTTATATGCAAAAAGGCTTTTCTTTTGAGGCATAAAATCAATGTCTATTACGAAAATTTGTCAAAAGGGCTATATTCATTCAAGACAAGCTTAGACCAAAACGCTCTACAGGCTTTTCTTTCGAGGCATAAAATCAATGTCTATTATGAAAATTTGTCAAAAGGGCTATATTCATTCAAGACAAGCTTAGACCAAAACGCTCTACAGGACTGAATAAATTATTCATTCACAACTAATTCCTAATTCTTCTGACACATTGGGGAATCTTATTGTGTATCTGAGAAAAAGGGTAAAGAGATGTTTTCAACTCATTCTACTGGTCAATATTGCATGGCTGTTTTGCTTTGTGATTCCCTGTTTCTCACACATTAAGGTCATATTTGGGAACTGTATTTCTGATGATGATAAACATAAGTGATGCACTCAAGTCAATACAAAACATCT